GGACAGCAGAAGCAGGGCAAAATTATGTGACAAGATTCTCCATAACACCCACTTAAATACCTTTTCCCAAGTTGAGCAAAATGCAGTAATCTATGGAACTATCTACCTCAGGTTTGCAAACATTGTAAAAGTAGAACATCTAAATGTCAGTCAGAAAGTTTCACGCTAAAGGACATATGGCTGACTCGGCCAAAATATATTTCGAGTTCACGAATAGTGATTTCACAGAGGTCTAACTCTTTATTAGGCCTTATGTCGGAAGGCTGCTCACTGCCTGGGAAATGAAGCAGAACCATCAAATATAGTCATAAGTTCACATTAGCTGCAGGCCAATTGAATTTTGCTATGATACATTAGTGAATACGGTAACGTATTTTGAGTCCTTGAAGGTCCAAAAAGTTATAATGACTTCGTCGGGATTTTTGGATGTCTCCTTTAGAAGCTGCGGTAGTTGCTAGTCCTTACGAACGAGACGGTTCACGGGCTGACCAGGTGGACCTCAGTCATTGCAGTTAATTAGGTCTGTCATCTACAGTATTCATTTGCCCGTATGTAGATTAAATATATTCAGACAAATTTCATGCAAATTTCTAGTCGAATAGAATACCAAAATCGAAGTTCTGACATGTCTTTAAAATGAGTCTGTCATGTTAAGGACAAGAAAAACTGTTTAAATCGTTGTGGGTAAAACCCTTTCTTAAAGTTGACTATATGCTTTGTGTTAAATGTCTCTTTAAATAATACTGTCGAGTTATTCCCTAATTTCGAATTTTTCATATGCTTTTCTTATGTGCAAAAATAAGTAGCTGCCTGATGCCACAAGCTTTTTACCGTATTTTCGTCGCCTATTATTAGCCATGTTTTGGAAATTCTTTGCATGTATAGCAAATTGCAATATAAACTTCATTCAAATACACCGAGAATCAAAGATTCTCAGTTAAGACGTCCTATCCCGTCTGTAGCGCGAACTCATCGTGGTGGCTTAAATCATTTCAAATTTCCTCTGTCAGAACTCGCTACCTTCTAAATGCGATTGCTGCTATCAGTTTCTAGAGTAAGTTTAGTTTTCACTTGTATTTTCAGCTGTGTGGGATCCGATATGCGATACATACGACGGCACCTTCTCTTTTTCCGAAAATCGAACGGACATAAAGGCGTACCTTCCATTCAAACCACAGGTTAACCAGATTTGTGCACATTTTCGCAGCAACATTTACCGAGAAACATTTTAGTGAAAATCATCACATTTGCAATTCCCATAACGCTGAAACTGTTAATGACCTTTTCAGAAAATCGTTATTGGGCATAACTACACATTCGCCAACAACGTATGCGAAAGTGACAATGAGGTCCTTCAGTGTAAACTAACTAGAGGTATGTTTTCATATCCGCACAACTGATGAAAACGTGTCATGTGATATCCACTGCAATTTTGAACGTTGTAATTTCCCGGAAAAAATTCATTACATTATAAAATAGAGCTAAAATTATTGTCCTCATGGTAGCAGCAAGTTAGAATTATATGCTACTTTATTCATAATGGCGTTGGAGTAGATACCCAACAGGCGGGTGCTGGAAACTAGCAGGAAAATAGACAGCAGCCAAATCATGAACAAGGGCAAACAGGAACATACGCGATTCAAAGTAGGTCCTACGACTGGAATTCAACTTTTCTTGACGCGAAATCCGTCAGCACGTGCAGCACAAGGCCGTGCTCTAAACCCGAATATATCATCAAAGAGTATGCTGCAAACAGAAAACCAGTTAAAATTAAAGGTAGCTAACCAGACAGAGCAAAAGTCCATGCAGACGAGGTTTGCCTCAAGCAGGCAACAACCATTACCCAATGAATTCTTCCAAATAGAATGCGGAGTTGTTATTTGCACTTTTCATCAGCCAGGTTTGCCTGCGTTTGTGAATTTACTCAGTAGCTCTTTAACCCAGTCGTTCAAAATCGTTCGAGATGTTAGACATTTACTGTGCGCTACGTACGCCACTAAATGCGAAGATGTTAACAGATCCTCCACTCTGTATATTAAACAGCCGTATTTGTGTCGCGTAAAATGTATTTGATTTTTATTTCTGTTATATCCAAGCAGGCTAGCGCAGTATAAACATGCTTCTTTGATTGCCAACAACTATCTCTCCGTCACCATTGAGTTTACTTCCGATAATATAACGGATATTGAGGTAATTTTAAATTGTATCGGTAAAGCAGTGTAGAATCTTAGGCATATAACACTGGGGTCCATTCAGTTTTAACTCCCGTTTTCGTATATTCCACATTTAAAGTCAATTTATTGGCTTATCACATTTTAATAAATTAACTTTCGTTCCTCAGTATTCTTAGTTCGAGCAGCATAAGGCCGCTATCAGTAAAGTGCAATAATATCTTTTCCTTTGGTTCGAATAGCGTAATATAAATTATGCCGCTTATTAAGTATATTGGCTCTTCTTAACCTACTCTATTTACACGTCCCTAACTTTCTCATGGATAATAAATTGTGGCATCTAAAAATCGCGGTTTTCGTGTATATGTTCCATTATATCTCCTGTAAACATATTATTTGTTTTCTACGCTTCTTTCCAAATAATCTGCATACTGATTAAGGCTTTGTAGAGGGCATGCAGGTTACTGTTAAAGTTGTCTCATTCCTATATGTGTGTAAGCACAGGGGAGACGATAGAGTCTGGGGGTAGGTCGATACAGAACGGTTTCAGGCTTATTGGCCTTCATTTAGCCAACCATAATCATGACCACCAGTCGCGACTGCACGCACGAACATGCACACTGATACGCTTGGCGCAGCTGGTCCACCACTGAGGTTTGCCAGATGGGTCATTAGTACTTCGCCGAGCCGAGGTTCATCAGCATCTAACCACTTGCAATTCTCTGTGGCTGCAGATCGAGTATTTATTCACTCAGGCATAGGTGCACATATAATGGGTGCATATATAAACAAGAAAATGGAACAGTGCCTGTTATGTCATCGAGTGATGATCGTAAGGGTTCTAACTGGTGGTATTACTGCGTCATTGGAAGGAATAAACAATACCAAGGTCGGATTACAAAACAGATGCCTGATGTCAAATACGATTACATAGATGAAGCACAAGGGTAATGTAAGTGTTGCAGATGAGAGCTGCAATAATGGAACCTCGGGTTGGATGGGAAGGAGGAGAACGAGTCAGTATGTCCCTAGGCGGTCGGATATGGACTTGCGGCTAGCGATCTATGGCGGCTGCCAAGATCCAATTAAATGTATGCGCATATATTTGCAGTGAATGCCCAGGTTGATATGTCGGTTCATTGTGCTTTTACCATTGTTTTTAACCCAAAGTAATTAAGCTCTTTTGGTGGTTGTGGAAATTACATCAGCGCTGTTCCATGCCAACGGACGACTAGTTTGCGCTCATTAATACTAGTCCCTAGGTCTTGACTTAGACGATCGTCCTAGGAATACCTACATCCAGCACATCTGATTCGGTATATGAAATTTGACTTCTGAACTCGAAGAATGTAATTCTTTGCTCAAAAAACGTTGGAGAAAATGAGACCACTGAAATTTTTGCAAATGCCAGACAACCACATCAGAATTCCTTTCGGCCTAGGTGGGATATAAATTTTTTTAACATTGAAACGCCCATATTATGCCTGCGGTTCTGTATTTATCTCTGACATGTGAGGTGGTTTTTCGCAAAACTGATCTTGAACTCATTAGAGCATGTGAACGGATGAGGTAAAATGGCAGTTCGCTAAACAGATGACTCCTGTTACACTATTGAAAGGGCCTCTAAAGCAGTTTATATTTCGGCTTTTTTATCAATATCCATATGTAAAATAACAAACCACTGCTTTTTGTTCTAGTTTCGGGGTCAAAGATATTCAAATTTGAGATCCTCGGCGTCAACAAAAGGGACATTGAAACCATTCACTTCTCCACATCTGATGCCAAAGGTCCAAAAATTTACATTCTCTATCGGAAAATGCTGACGAATCTTCCGCAATGTGCGTTAACTTGGTATCTTATTTAACTGAGGGGTAGCGCAATGCGTTGTTGATAAGGAAAATTTGTTTGGGGATAGATTGGTCTGAGAACAAGCTTGCGAGAATGATTTATCTGAAAACATCAAAATACCTGAAAGGGATTTTTGAAATAGTCAGTTCATAATTTTTGAGCCTCTGATAAGGCTTTCAATGTTAATTCGCTCAATACCTGATGAAGAATAGTTCCAGCATATTGCATGTAACACTAACCTGCTTTTATGTTTATGCAATTACTTTATCACCGTCGATTCTGAAGGTAACATGATATAGCGTTAGCTAATACGTCTCCAGTTTGAAGATCACAAGACGTTTTCCAACGCCAAGTAAGAAAGAGATTTGGCAAACCAATAGAAAACGTTTACATTTGTCTCGTATGGACAAGATTTCAAATTGACCACTGTCACTAAACAGAGCTGCACATGAGGATGTTTCCCTTGAGAAAACTTTCGTAATTTTAACTTAATCGTCTACGTACATTTATTCAACGAGAGATATTTTTCAGAATCAATAAATCTACTCTCCGTTCGGTAAAACACTCTCGAAAATGTCTTGAAAAACCTTCCGATCACCACATATCCAAGCGCCGACTGAAGTTTAATGTAATTGAATTCATAGTTCAAGACTGTTGAATTGAATGTAACCTTGACAACAAATTCTCGGAGAGGTCCCTACGCTGAAACGCAAACCGGACATCAGTTTTATCGTAAATGAACTGCCGTTGGCTAACCCTGTGCACATTTCATAATACCGTTTGTGTTGGCGGAGGGTAGCCGATTTGTCACACCCAGAACGGGTAAACGTTTTAACCCATGACGTCGCACTTGAATCCTCTTGAGCTGGGATCTTCAAATAATTTTTCGGAAACAATTAAAGATCTTTCACACTTAAGCTGAGCGCGTTAGCTGTATCACTCAGTAATCCGAGTGAAATAAAATGCATCTGCAAAGGCGTGAGCCATTTTTAGATTTTAGTCCTACAGCATTTGTTGAAGACAAGCGTCCAACCAAAAATCGTTGTGAATTAAAAAAGTGTTTTCAAAATATTCATATTGACCTAACTGTGAAAAACTCTGCGCCTCGGTGGGATTCGAACCCACGCAGTAAGGGGAAGGCTTTAGCGCAGCCAACGCTCTGACCACCAGAGCTACGAGGCCCCGCCGGACGACGCAAGTTTAATCACATTTGGGTCAAGTTACCCGCCCAACCTACTGCAACGTCTGCAGTCCACCAAATCTGATACAGTAAGTTGACTGCCCAAGCAGGATTTCCTAAGTATGTTTACTGATGAATTTCCTCAAGGCTGGTGTTCTTCGCCAGTACAAAAAACGACTTATCAAATTAGAATTATTTTCGCAGTTATGTTTTCACCGGAATTCTCCCAACCGTTTGTGCATTGTCCATCACCCTCCTCGTACCACGCCGATATCACTTGCTCGACCTTCCACAATAAATTAGAGGTAAGATGAAGTGTATTTGGATGGTATAAATTTCTCTTGGGTACACATTTATATGAACAATTCTTCTTCTTCCAAATTACGATAAAATTTATTTATTGTACCGAAATTAGTTTTCTAACTATTCCACTATAATCCAGATCGTTATGTAAACAGTAGGGCTCGATCTTCAAGATAGCAAACCCATGAGCACGATAGGGCGTCTTTCCTTATAAGGAAACCGCCTGAAAACCCTTAAGGAATGCCAGAGTTCGGTTGGTATTTTGCAAACCTACAAAATAACTCACATATATGGTCACTGACCGATTCCATAAACTGTCAGCCTAAATTCTGAAATAAGACTTCGATTAGGTATGATTACGTAATTGGGTTTTAGTTATAATTATCCTCCTGGACTTTCTTAGATGACTGTATTCCTTTTCGGCCTCCAGTAAAAACCGAACGCGGCGAAAAATGGCTACTTGAGTAGCATGAATTGTTTATGTTCACTTTCGATGCCCATATACATTCGGATATATTTTAGGGAAAACATGAATAAAAGTATACCTTCTCGTATTTATTTAGTTACTTTTTGTATTTTCTCTGAATTTTGTATTTAGTGAAATAGTATCTCTAGGTTTTAAAAAAATTTTCTAATGTGTGATTGTTCAAAACCACCTAATGTCGATTCACAGAACATCTTGTCTGTCCGGTTATTGGTACTTCTCATGAACTATACACCGCAGCCCCAGTCTATTGCAAAATTTCATGAGATCTATACAATATCTTCCAAAAGACATAGAGGCATACATGATTTTTAAGCAGAATGTACATACCTTGTAGGCTGAAACCGAAAAGCACAAATGCGCCAGTACACCGAGCCTAAAAATTATGTGGAAATTGATTAACCTTTTTAATATTGAAAGGCGCACTTTCTTCGGACAAAGGAATTAAAAAATGTATAATTTGCTACTAATTCAGTACGAGGAAGAATGCTTTTATGTATGATTTTCGTAAAATATATTCGAATTAATAAAGAAATCGAAAGTGAAAATGAGCAATTCATGCTACTTAAGTAACAGTTTTAACCGAATGCGGTTTTTACAGGTTAAAAAGGAGCGCATTTAAAAGCCAGCAGCCTAACAAGTCCGAGATCATACGCAATTGCACCGGATGATAATCTAAACTAAAACCGCATTTAGATAATCCTACCTAGTCGAAACCACATCTTAGAATCTCAGCCAAAATTTCATGACATCTGTCGCTGACTATATATAGTTAGCTGGTTGTGAATCTTTTGTTTGTTTAAAGGTGTTTCTACAGGTAACATAAAACACTAGAAAACGAAAGTTCTTGGAAAAAAACCGATGTATAAAAGCATTTCCTGCTTTAACATTTCTTTACCAAGAGTACGCTTTTCCCTATGGGGCAAGTTCTCACATAGTTTGTTTCAGTAAATACCACCTAAAGAGAATATTAGTGCAATACTGTTATTTATGAAAGATTTTTTTCACTGTCACTCAACGTTTTTGAACAAATCATGGCTAATGGTCTCTAACACAATGCTGAACATTGTGCTTTTAGGGGTTGAGGGTTCTTGACGGAAACACGGTCCTTTGTGACGCGAAGTATGCTGGCAACCCCAAGTGCCGTAAGCAAACATCAAAACAAACGCATACTCTTGTTTTTTCCTTAACAATAATTCAATACCTTTCGGTAATTTCTAGACACTTTATTTATTTGTTTTGCTCAATTCCTTACGGTGAGACTAACTTATATAGCCCTCTGACAGAACAAGAGAACATGAACCGCTTGCAATATGCGTGGCTCAAGGCCAACATCCAGCAAAGCTAGAGTTGGGTTAAGGATTAGGTTTTAGGTCCGGATTTAAAGATACCGGTAGGATAAGTAAGGACCAAGTTTTGGGCCAAGAGAGGACTAGGGTTAATTGCACATTCAAGGTTAAGGGTAGGGTTAGGTTTCAGATTAGGACAACGGTTTTGTGTTATATAAGGGTTTAGGACACGGGAATTATGTGCAGATCCTCCCTTACTGTTTGGGCAGCGCGAAGCTATCCCCGTATCCTGTTTAATAGTTAAATGCGTCAATCCTACATTCTATACTTTCAAGAAAAATCCAAAAAAACCTTTAGAAACATCAAGATGCTATCAAAGAAATGTTTATCATATGACGTCAAGGAGGCAGTTGAAAGTACAGTGAGTGGCCGATCTCATGAAATGTTGGACGAAATGTCGAAATGTGTTTTTGATTTGAAAGGATTACTTAAGTTTGGGTTTCAATATTGGTTATTGTGCGGCATAATCCAGTTATATCATGGACTTGTCAGGATGTCGGCTTTTGAATGTCTTTCTTTTAATCTCCGGCAGAAACGACACTCGGCAAAGAATGACTACTTAATGGCATGCATTTTTCGCATCGATTTTCGATGCTCTTATAAATTAAAATATAGTTAATAGGAAACATGCACAAAATATGTTTTTTCTACTCATTTGGTGGCTAATCACATTAAATTTATATTTTATGCTTAGAGGCAGGGCATATCTGGGTTTTAAAGAAGACTTTAATTATACGATTTTTAAGACCGTGCAATGTCCATTCATACAGCATCGTACCTGTCTGTTTGCCATTGCCTCTCATGAAATATAGAACAAAGCCCGCACCCATTGCGAAATTTCATAAACTTTTGAAGGCATAAAACAATAAATTATTTTTTTTACGCGGAAAGCATGCGCCTTGTACAATGAAATCGCCAAACGCTAGTGCAACGGCGGATCTGACTTAAAATTATCCGGGAATTTGAAAATTTTATTAAAACCTAAACATACTCTGCCTGCAAGCATAAAGTGTAAAGTCAACGTGACTTACCGCTAAATGAGTAGAAGAAAGCATATTTTGTACATATTTTCTCTAACGTATATTTGAATTTTTAAGACCATCGAAAACCAATGCGAAATATGCATGTTAATTAAGTAGTCATTGTTAACAAGTATGGCTTCTGCAGGAGATCAAAAGAAGGGCCTTCAAAAGCCGACATCTTGGCGAGTCTGAAACATTAATGAGATATGCTGCATGGTAACCAGTACTACAACCACACCTAAGTAATCCTTCCAAATCAAAAACGCATTTCAGAACTTCGGCCAACATTTCATGAGAGCGGTCACTCAATGTATCTCACCGGACAATAAGTGAACATCAAGGCACAAAGTAGTATTGGGCGTCAGCAGGTTATTAATGATTGGCTTGACTTTTCGTCTTTAATGAACTGGTCACAACTTTGGTTGCATTTCTATTTGGAGATTAGGCACTTCACAATACGTCAAACCCACATGAGGAAAAAATGTGCAGTAGATTCGTGGGATATGAATGACGTGAGACGGTAACTGAGTATTTACTGAAGTCAGGCCTCTCCCCAGTCATGCTGCAAGAATTCACTTGCACATAACGAAGCAGTACTTGCAGCCCGTGAGGAGGACCAAGTTAGCCCGTCAGTTGGTAGCCCTGCAAGTCGCGAGTTACAGCGTGTTGTGGTAGTTCAAAAGCACACTAGATTGTCATGTACCTTTACCGGCTGCTTAGCTCGCTTTTTAGCGCAGATCATTATTTAAGTGTGAATGTTTGCGGTTTTTCTTACTTTAATGATGTCATCGATAAGCACGAAAAAAATGTGACTGTAATTTGTTCCATATAGCTACGACAGTTAGCTTTTTGTGTTACGGAGAAAAGAATGCATGATTTAAAGGAAGAGACATTTAATAGGATTTAATTAAGTCTTTCTGAGAAAATCGTTGCATGGTTTCTTAAATTCTTTCCTGCTGTATATAGAAAATTTTCTAACGTGCGCTTGTTTCCTAGACACAAAGGTGCGCCAAGGCAGGACAACTGTGCGCGAGAGAGTGTACAAGACTCCAACAACGGAACGGTTTGTATTCCTTACGTGTGAACTGGAGGTTGGGAATCAAAGGGGTTACATGACACATCTAATTGACTTCGGCAGAAAAGGTAGGCGAAAAATGCACATGGAAAAGAAACTGAATTCTTACTTACCGAACACGCACATGTTACTAGCAAGCACATCGGATGATTGCACTTAAACTTCTGGTTGCAGACTACCGATAGAAGATGGCTATTAATCCTAAGTTCCTCTATTAACCACGTAAAAAAACAATTTGAATTATCACTTACCGCGCAAACATACTACTAACAACAACTACTATTGATGGCTTTTGAAAATCTGGATGTAGGTTGCAGATTCAACGTGGTCATTAAGTGTGAATTCATATATTAATTGGTTTAAGTTACTGCCGCTTGATTTGACAGATTTTAAATACAGTGTGCATGGCTCGTTCTCCTAAAACAACCAATATTAATTAGTTTGCACGCCCCAGTAACATGTTCGGATTTTACGGTAGGACAGGGAACACAGAGTGCACTCCCGCTTTGCGTTGATTTTGTACATTAGAAATGTCTCCAGCCTGCTTTTAGGGCCTTTCTTACTATCGACAGTTCAACCATCGTCTTCCTTGATGTCCACCAGGGTCTTCGCAACAGGGTTGGGACAGGGACGGTGACTTTCGCGTGATTTTCTTTGTGGTTGTAGCTGACTTGCGCACCGTCTATTGCACTCTCCCGCTTTTCCACTATCTGTTCACGGTGTCATGACCAAGTTAAGAAGAGTGGAGGCAAGGGGCCGCAGTTAGCTGGCACGGCGATAACCAACACCTAGGCGTACCGCGACACCTTCTGGTCAACACCAAACATTTGAACAGGATTTTAAACAACAACAAATATGGGGCGGCGCGGATCCTAAGTGGCGTAACGCAAGCCTACAACTGGGCCTGCCACTAAACCCTGAAGTTTGGCACTTGCTATGGGCGCGCATTTCCGACAACGCCTGCCGGACTCCAACCTAGCTCCCGTGTTGTTTCAGTGCATTTACCGGATGGCCGGGTTTTGGAACCAATCGTGCTTGTCAAGGAATATTTTTGGTCGCTTAAGATCATTTTTCTCCATTTATTTGCCATCAATATGTACGCTATTCATTTCGGGCTTTGTAAATCAGATCAGGCATACAAAGTAAAATGCTGATCTGCCTCCCAGCCAGGGTTCTGAAGGATTTTAAAAGACAGCTTAGTCTAATCACTCACCATTTCGTAATTTTCTGACAGTAGAGTCGATATAAATGAGGTGTTAATTAACCAGTGGATACAGTTTAGATAACTCAGCAAGTGGAGCAAACAGTTCGGTGCACAGTTTGTTTTTTGACAACGCATTATGTGAATGTTTGAGTAACTGGGAAATTCAAATCCCGTTTTAATGTCCTGCATTGACTCAAAATAAAAATTCATTTCTAGTGAAATTTTGACTGACTGCGACAAAAGCTATACTCGAACCAGGTGCTTTTCGATTAGAATTGCTCAAAAATGACAGTTAAGGACCAATCACAAAATTGTGCAACGAAAACCTCCAAATCGCCATCACAAATAATCGGAGTTTCAGAATACGTAACAAAATTGAATATTTTTCCCAAGTTCCGTGACATTAGAACTTTCTATGTTCCGCTGCGAAATTTCATGGGTTTTCATTTGATTCAAAACTACAGACCATTCTTCGTTTACCTACTCAACGTAATATTTTATATTCCAGATGCCTTCGAAATCGGTACGTTTCTAGAATTCGGCTGTTTAGGCCTCCACAAAGTTAGTGGTTTAAGATCCTAAGAAATACATAAGCTCTTACGCTTGAATGAGTCTCAAGGGAAGTTTATTCAGACGTATGTTCTATCATCACAGATTTCTCATCTTTTTTCGTCGAATTTAGCTGATATCTTTAAATCTCCAAACAAAATAACCATCTCTTTATTGCGTTGAAAATTATTTCGAGATATTTTACTGCCACTATTTGGCAATGGGCTGATGCCTTCTTAGACTACTTTGCTGTCATATGTCAAAGGTAAAGGGAATTTTGATATTTTAGACTTCTCAAAGCAAAAATCTCAGTCTGAACCAACCGAATTCCTTCTAGCCTCAAACACTCTCGTTCTTAAAATGCCCGCTCTACAAAGCACTTTAAATATAAATATTGGCTGGTAGTCGCGTCGGCAACTACTCTTTATCTTCAGTCATATCAGACGTCAAATTTTATTTGATTATCTGCTCTAAGTTAAAATATTAAATTGTATGACCAGTGTTCACTCCCATCATGTGTAAAACATTTTCCAAGATAGCCATATTTTAGTATATAAGCTCTTCTAATTTTTTCTAGTGGAAATCTTGAGAAGCCATTTAATATATTCACACATAGAATGCTGGTCTGCAACGCTTACTTTAAAATACGCAGAATTATTTATAAGCACTAACCGTTTTGGCAAGATATGCACATTTTCTGGCGTTTTTCCCTTTGTAAATATTCGTTTGTTCTAGAACCGCTACTTTCAATACTTTTTGAATTACTTCTTCCACTTAGGCAAAGAGGACATTGACGGTAAGCCAATCTCAGACCGCGCTTTCAAGGAGTAACTTTATCATGGTTATTTTAACGCGATTCATACGAGAGAAGCTCGTTAGATTGGTGCAGTTGTGTTTAATAGCTATTTTTTGTTTATTTACGAATGTTTCTATTTTTTTATCTGGAATTCGGATCACAGAACTGACATTCCTGCTTTTTACTTAACGCATCATTCGTGCCCTTAGTAAAATATCCCTTGGCCACAATTAGCATATTCAAACACATCTCACTTTTCGTAAGAAGGGATTGAAAAATGAAAGTGAGTGTGTCATATGAATTGTAGAAACATGGTCTCATCTTGGCTTCATTTACAACGGAACCTATCAGCGCAACTCAAGCGCAGATCACTTTTATGCCTTCATGGATTTTAGGCCAAAGGTAGGTTACAACTATAAAAACAAAATCCATACCAGTTTGTCATATGCTACACTTTAGGGATACATCCAGTATTAATTTTTAACTATTTGTGGAAAAAAATGCAAAGACCGGAAATCTCATCAGTCAGATATTATAAAGATAGGTCAATACGTTTGACCGTCCATAAACTTTATTCGGAGCGATTTCAGATCTCAGTGATTGCTAATTCCTTCGCAAATGAACTATTTTATTCACAAAGTGTATGCATAAATGTAGCGTTTTGAGAGGAAATTTAAAGTACACTTTTGAAACTGTTAATCGCAGATATCGATTCCTCTTTACGCAGTTGCTTAATATTGCATTAGAATCAGCCAATAAATTGCTCAGAAATGTAGTCTTTGTAGTCTTTTCGCCCTGATTAGATATTGCTGTCGTTTATCTGCTTCTCAATACTTCCTATAATCCGAAGTGATTTTACGTGAAAACGCAAAAATACTGGCGGATTCTTCTTAGATGTCAGACTATTCGGTTATTATTATAGATAAATGTCCCTTCAGGAAATAACTTTTAGTGATTGGTCCGACTGATCCTTCGTCAGAACAATGTTGTTTCTCTGTTCGCTGTCATGAACACTTAATTTGTTGTCTGTCAGTTGTTTTTAGTGAATTCTTATCATGCCTTTGATGGTAACCCGTAAAGCGTCAACCAAAACACCTACCCAAACATTCCACATAAAAATTTACTTGAAAGTATATTAGGATACCCATTAGCATGAAACACTTACTCGAACTGTTGCAATCCTTACGTAAACGTCGCTTAAAATGGTGAGTTGTTGGAACGCGTCAGTAAGCCAATCTCGGAATTCTAATTTGAAGGAAATGTGGCATTTCCGGGATGATTCCCCGTTTTGGTCTTCAATACCTTGGTAAATTAGGTTTGATGAGACGACAAAATCAGCCCGCATGTTGCATCTCGATATTTACTTGGTTGATAATTAAATGCTCTTCTGAGGCGCACTTCTGTCTACTTCACATTAGCTGAGTCGTAGAGAATAAAGGATCATTTGCTCTGTATGCATATATATGCGGAGAAGTTAGTACCGCCAAAGTCACCGGGGACTGAGACGGCCACTTCTCGGCTGTCAGCCATCACCGGTTACCCAGAACCAACCCCATGTCTAGAACACCTAGTTATTTATTTAAAGTGGGCCAATCAAAAACATAATTCGTAGGCTCTCATGCCTTCCTTACCTCGTGACGGACTTTGCAAATTCATCTACCATATCCGCCCCTAGCATAATAATCACAATCACGGATAAAAGCGAAGATGCGAGTTCCAGCGAGTACGAGATCGCTTGTCAGAATTTGGGGTAGGTATGATTTTGTCGCTCGTCTCGTTTACGCACGCCCAGGTTGAAGGAGTTGCGCAGGTAAACATTTTCTCCGAAAAGCCATCGAAGACAGTATATTTCTGCAACCCTGTCTTCTTGCTCACTTCAGTCCGTCTCAACACGTCCATATAGTGTCCTTACGTAACAGCATTTGTGGCTGATTGGGTGGTTGCTGCTTAAGTTCAGCATTTGCATCGTGTTGGTCGCTTTTTTGAGCACTTTGGTCTTTAGTCCACCACATTCTTTGTAGCATACGAGGACATCAAGGAAGGCCAGCTGGTTGTTCTTTTCCTCCTCCGTCGCAAATTATATGTTCGAGAGGACGTTGTTGGAACGTTCTAAGTTCTGGCGAGCGATCCCGTACATCAAGAGCGTCTCTGAAACCGTTAGTCGCCTTCTCGCACCATTTGGCGTTGGAGTTGCACACAGACCGGAACCCATCATAAGGCGTCAGGTGATGAGACCAAAAGACCCACTGACACGACAAGAAACATCTGAAGTCGTTTACGTGATTTGGCGCAGTTGCGGACAAAGCAACTACGTCGTGGAAACTGGAAGACTGCTCCGGACTCGAATCGCCGAACACGCGACAACGGTGCGGATAAAGAACGCCAACCATCAGGTCGCGGCCCATTCGACGAGACCCGGCCACACATTCAGGATCGATGAAGCCGAAATTCACGCGAGAGGGGATAATCGCGTGAGCCGCGAGTTGCTTGAGTTATGGTTCACGGGACCTCAGTCTATCAACAAGCGCAACGACATCTCCACTCCATATTCCGTGCCGAGGCATAGGCTAGCCAGAGTAAATGGCCACTTAAGGATCGCGCAAGCCAATGAACCAGACGGCCGAGCAATCGGCACGCCAGCATCCAACACGGGTGATGAGGTTTTAACAATTAACAACTTGCACGACGGCCGTCAATCGATTAGCGCAGCAGCGGGCAACAATTCTTGATAAAGGAGATCGCAGTTGATTTCTATGCGTATGCGGTAGCATAGTGGCTGCGTCCTATAAATAGTGCAACTTTCTGTGCTCGAAACACCCGTTTTTGTCACTGTCCCTAAAGAGAATTCGAAGCGTCAGGCAAATAAGGCTCTTGTTCCAGCGGTCCCTACTGCCTCTCAACATTCACAATTATTGATCCCATGATCAAAATATTTTTCCTTGATTGCATGGTAAATAAATGTCTCGATCTCAATTGGCACTTAAAACCTATACTGCTGCAGAACAAACACGAGAATATCAAGAAAAGAGGAGCCGTTCACTGGGAGGGGTTTACTGGGGATTCGACATCTCGATTAGTTACTTTGTCTACCCGTCTTCAGAGACTGGGATGCCATGAGGAAAAAGAAGAACAAGAAGAAGAGATACAATCGCTGGGACAGGAGCTTTACTAGCCTATGAACATTCACGGCTCCTCCCCTCATCAGGGATAGTTGCACTTGGTGTGCTGACTGTCTGATGGCCGACATTCGCGTCGTTAATTACTGCAATTTCATCACGTGCGTTGGATGTTGATGTGGTAATTGCTCGACCATTTGATCCACCGACCCCGGCGGTTGGAAAAGTGTTCACCTGTGCGCTCCCCGCGTGGCTAATTACCCCGCTTCGGCGAAGTCTCAGCACCGAGTATGGAAGAGGAAGGTCATTGTACTCAAGCAGCTCCCGGCTCACGCGGTTGTCACCTCGAGCGAACATTTCGGCCTCGTCGAATTTGAATGTGTGACCGGATCTCGTCGAGAGCTGGCGTCACTTCTCCGCACCGCTGCAGCGTGTTCGGCCATTGGCGTTCGGAGCTGTCTTCCAGTTTCTCCGACGTGGTTGCTTTGTCTGCAACTGCACCATATCCGATAAACAACTACAGACGTTTCTTTTTCGCATTCTCCGACATAGTTTCTTTGTCTGCAATCTGTCCTCATCTCTGAGGATGGGCTCGAGCAGGAATCCGAAACGGCAGGCTAATAAAGCTCTTGTCGCAGCAATGGCGTCTTCTTCTTCACGACTGCTTTCTGGGACTTGTCTCTGCGCTTCTATTGGCAGTGGAATGCCATGCCAACAGCTCTTCTTCTATGGCGCACTTTGTTTGATGCGTGTCTTCGCAGTGCCGCCTGTGTGGCTAAATCCTACCCACACATCACCTAGACCTGAATCGCCCCACCCTCATCGGCCGCGGAGATAGCTGATGACCCCGACTGTCCGCTCCCTGACTGCCCCCGTCAGGAAGGTTCGTAAAACCAGATGGGGGATCACAAATTAATGTGACCATTGACAGAACAGTTGGAAAACATCCAGGCTTCTTTCACTTGCCGTGCTCTATGATTATCGCCTCGGCCCAAGATCGCAAGGATGTCAAAGAAGGGCAGAGATCAAATCTGCACATCAGACCTTATGCGTAATCTTGTCTTGAGCAGTATCGTTGTCTGCATGTCCACTCCGGGACGGACGTCATCAAATTTCAAAGCTCCTTCAAAATGGAGATTTATAAGAAGTGTATGATTGTAAGAATGCAAGCCTTTTACAGAAACCTGCGATGTCAACTATTAAAAAAAGTTTAAAACCGTCTAGCGAGTGTTTTTGAAAATCTCAAAGTTCATATGTCAAGCTGGCTCTCTAACACTCAAAAAGGTGCATATCCGAAGAATTACCCTTTTTGAAATATGTTTCTCGGTGTGTACAATATACAGTGAGTGACTGATCTCATGAAATGTTGGCTGAAATACTGAAATGCGTTTTCGAATAGGAAGGATTACTTGGTCGCCGTTGTAATATTGATTATCTGGCGGCATACGTTTATAACATTTCGGACTTGGCAGGATGTCGGCTTTTAAATGCATTTCTTTTCAATCTAATGTAGAAAGCGTACTCGGTAACAAATGACTACTTAGATAGCATGCATTTTTCCATTGATTTTCGATTGTCTTGGAAATTCAAATATATTTTATAGAAACTATAAACAAAAATATGCTTTCTTTTAGTCAATTAAAAGAGAATCATGTCTTCTTTATAGTTTATATTTAAGGAAGGAGCACAATTAGATTAAAAAAAAGTTTTCTATTTGACGAATAATTTGGAGCCTTATCATTCGTTGCATTAGCGCTTAGTGAATTCACTCTACAAGGTGCATGCGTTCCGCGTAAAGAAAATCGCATATTTTCCTATGCAATTAAAGAGCTCTTATACAGAGTCCATAAAATTTTGCAATGAATGCAGACCATGTTGTACATTTCATGAGGAGCAGTGGTAAACCGCCAGGTACGATGCTATGTGAATGAACATTTCGCGGTCTTAAAAAGTCTCATAATAAAAACTTTTTTTAAAACCCAATTATACTCCTTCCTTAGGTATAAAATATAAATAAGACGTGATTGTCAATTGATTGACTAAAAGAAAGCATATTTTTATGGTTTCTATAAAATATATTTGAATTTCCTAGACAATCGAAAATCAATGGAAAAAATGCATGCTATCTAAGTAGTCATTTTTTACCGAGTACGCTTTTTACAGGAGATTAAAGAGAAATGCATTTAAAAGTCGACATCCTGCCAAGTCCGAAATGTTATAAAAGTATGCCGCAAGATAATCAGTTATACAAAGGCGGCCAAGTAATCCTTCCTAATCGAAAACGCATTTTAGAATTTCAGCCAACATTTTATTAGATCGGTCACTCACTGTAAATATGCGACGTCTCGCGATGGCAGAACTGTAGATAAGAATAAGCAAAAGTCATGTCATTATGGTTCAAACGCAGGCTTATTTAGTACCAAAGTGTCCGGAATCCATTGCAAATTATGAATTCAGGTCTCTCCTTTTAAAGACTGCTGATTCCGTTGTGTTGCGGAATTACGTCTCATCGTGCATGCCCAGCTCACGGACGGTGCTAGGATAGCCTGGCTGCTAGAACACTACATCTCCGTACCTTTTTGATTGGTATTTTCGCAAACCAGCCGAATGCTGCGACTGATTTTCTCGTGCCTAGTTATTTTGACCAATTCACTATACATAAAGTAAAAAATGACTACATATATAGCAAGAATTTTTCTCATTAATTTTCGATGCTCCTAAATGTCCAATAATATTTTATGGAAAGCACGCATGAAAGTACTCACTCTTTCGCTCACTAGATAGCTAATTACGTATTATTCCAATCTTATACTCGATGGAGGGGTATAATATGGCTTTCAAAAATTTTTCCAAATCCCGATTAATTTTGAACCCACTTTACCGTTGCACTTGGATTCGGGCTTTCCAAACTACAAGCCGTATATTTTCCGCGTACGAAAAACCACACATTTCTCTAAGGTAATAAAGGGAAACCATATAGGATTCATAAAATTTAGCAGTGGATTTTAGCCATAGTGTTAACTTTACAGGCCACATTGTCAAATGCAGCGTCATGACGATTTATGCACGGCCATTTCACGGTATTTAAAAGTCCCACAATTAGAAACTTCTAAAACCAAATTATGTCTCTCCTTTGAGCATAAAATTAGAAAAAGACGTATTTTTTACCGAGTGAGCAAAAGAATGAATACTTTTGTGCATGTTTCCTATGAAATATAGTTGAACTTTTATTAGCATCGAAAATCGATGAGAAAAGTTCATGCTGTTTATGTAGTCAGTTTTTACAGAGTGTCGTTTTTGCATGCAGCCAGAAGGAAGTTCTTTCGAAAGCCGGTATCCTGAGGTACTTGAGGTATTATAGAACTATGTTGCAGGCTTACTAGTTTTACAAACCTACTTAATAAATCTTTTCGAAACGAAAACGCATTTTGGAATTTCGGTTGACATTCAATAAGTTAGTCAATATACTGTAGCTGAATATTACAGTGTTTGACCTTCGTGACCGAGGGTGACCGTGAGAGCAGGAACCATTGACTCTCGCGTGAATCTGATTATAGTGATAGTGAATTTGCGCAGCGTCTATCGCACTCTCTCGCCCTACCCCGTCTGGGTCTGCTGTCAAGACAGTCAAGATGCAGGTGCAGGTGGCTGGCATGGCCCGACCTGGGCTTACTACCACACCCGCTGCTCCAAAACGAATACTTGACCAACAGCAACACCAATGGGGAGCGCCAGGGACTCCAATGTGTGCGACTAGCTTGTCATTACACCCCGAATGTTGGCACTTGCTTGGGTGTGCATTCTCGGCAACGCCTGCTAGAATAACATATGACCCCGTGTTGGTCCAGCGCATTCGCGCATGGCACGTTTTGAGATCAAGAATGGTCGTATACAAGTAAAAAGATCGTAATCTAAAAGCGGAAAACGCGCCTACATCAGCATGAAGAGATACCAGTCTTCATGAAAAGACTGATCATCTACACGCAGCTGGGGGTGGCAGTTAGCGTAGCGTGTGGCCGACTCAGGGAACTGTCATGACGTATGTGATCACCACTGCAAATGGTTTAGAGCATGTTGAGTTATTTTTATTGAGCATGTAGAAGATGAGAATTGGGCTGGACAATCAGGAAGTGCACATGCTTTCTGTACAATGAACTATTTTCAATTTTTTTCTTAGCGAGGCTTTTTTAGTATTTCAGGGGGTTCTATCGGATGGATGGTGAAAACTGCATTACCAGCATACACAGTTTTGTCTGCAAAATTCGAAAAGGTAAGAAACGAACAGAGTATTGTACATTACATTTTCCAACAGAAGACTTGTGTCGCAGTTTGCTGTAGGCAGTTGGATGGATCCTGCTGGTGAAAGTATTGCCAACGTCACATATACTGCTGCATAAGTGACTGAGTCGAATGGGTATATGTTAATGTAACTTATACTACTGACAGTGGACAGCATTTTTGCCTACTTTCAAAAATTGCATACACGTTTCGGTACAGCTGAATAATCCACTTGACCCAGTATTGAAACAGTCATCGGTTTCGGTGAAATGTAAACCCACGACAGCTAATGCAAAAACCTAATAAATAAGTTAGCATTTTAGTAATCTTATGGACTCTAGATTGATTACTTAGGAAATTCTGCTTGGGTAGTAAGCATGCTGAAATGTGATTAAACTCACGGTTACCAGTGAGACCGTGACTGTGCTCAAACCTCGTGCGTTTAAATCACGCAATGGCCGAAATGGTCTTCGCAATTAAATACAGTAGGTGGGCTAACTCATGTAATGTCAACCGAAATTCCGAAATGCGTTTTTCTTTCAAAAAGAGTAATTAATCAGGGTTGTAAAACTAGTCATCCTACAACATAATTCTATAATATTTCAGTTACCTTAGGATGCCGGATTTCGGCTGCATGCAAAATAGCACTCTGTAAAAAATGACTACTTATTGGCATGCATGTTTCTCATTGATTTTCGATGCCTTAAACAAGATAATTATATTTCATGGAAAACATGTATATAAGTATTAAATCTTTCGCCCATGCGGTAGACCATTACGTGTTATTCCAATTTTATACTCGAAGGAGGAACATAACTCGGTTTTAAAAAGGTTTCTAATTGTGGGATATTTAAATACCGTGAAATGGCCGTCTATAAATCGTCATTTCTCTGTATTTGCCAATGTGACTTGTAAAGTTGACAATATGGATCAAGTCCACTGCTAAATTTTGTAAACCCCATATGGTCCTTTTTTATTACCGTAGAGAAATGAGAGGTTTTCCATACGCGGAAAATAAACGGTTGGTAGTTTAAAAACTCTGAATCCACGTGTAACGGTAGAGCGCGTTAATAATTAATCGGGCATTGGAAACGCTTTTGAAAAACGAATTATACCCTTCCTTCGAGTATAACATTATACGAAGACGTAATTAGCTACCGAATGAGTAAAAGGATGAATATTTGTATGCACGTTTTCCAAAAAATATAATGAGCCTTTTAGGGGCATCGAAAATCAACAGGAAAAGTTCGTGCTGCTTTAGTAGTCATTTTTTGCAGAGTGTAGTTTTTGCATGCAGCCGAAAAAAAGTTCATTCGAAAGCCGCATCCTGAGGTAGCTGAAATATTATAGAATTATTTTGCAGGCTGACTAGTTTTACAACCCTAATTAATTAATCCTTTCGAAATTTCGGTTGACATTTCATGAGTTAGCCCGCTTACTGTGCTACACTTTATCAGACGATAGCAGTACTACTGTAGACACGGCGTCTGAGATTCAAACCTTGTTCAGTCGGTCATTAGGCATTTTACAGTCAGGAGTACTCCCGACTGCAGTACCCTCACATAGCCTGTTAGCGGAGGTCAGAAAGGCCTAAAATCGCCTGGGTATTGTATGCACATGTGAGTCCATCGATAGGATGGAATGTCGTGGCATGGGGACCGCTCCTGCCAAATAATGTCACTAACTTTAGCAGGAGACAAAAGAATGTGAACTGTTGACTGGAATTTATTCACATGTCACACCATGTGAGCTGTCCTATGACAAATAATTTGTCAATGCTTTTCCGTAATAGTTGTTGGATCCTCATTTTGGCGAGTCGAGATCAGATCAACCGATGCACTAACGGCGAATGAACTGTCATTCCAGGACGAAAAGTATTATCCTACGAGGCAGTATGTTATGCACAGCACTCCTTTCTCTGAAACGGCAAAAGGTAAATATTTGGTTTCACTGCCTTCTCATATATTTTTCAGAATGTCCTTTCGATGTTCATAACCACGCTTCTCGTTCATCGTTCGTTCACAATGGTCTATGGTCCGAAATATATCACCCGTACGAATGAGAAACTAATTGTGTTTTTTACGTGAATATAAATTTTGTGTTTAGAATTTGCTGAATGGAGTGTACTTTTGACGTTTAATGTCAGGAGTTACAAATCAGATACTAGTCGCAGGGGGAAGTTAACTTGGCCTTAAGCAGGTTGTGGGGCATTTAACTGACTGGGAATTTATAAACTAACAGATAGGCCAGGCCCAATTAGACCTGGTTAAGCAAACGGATGGTATGGGTACAAAAGGCAATTTGGCGAGCATGCGTCTGCTTTCGATAAATTCTCTTTAGTCCTATAAATATATATGGCTATTGAAGTGATGAATTAAAAGATGCCGGCATACAGATAATTATGCCATAGCTCTGGTTTGGGAACGGGAGAAAAAAGACTGGAAATTGGAGTTGATTGGTGACGAGAAACTTGGAAATGACGGCTGTACTTGAATGTTTTCAAAAAGCACGCCTTCACAATGGTTTGCCTACATAGATTCTGGGGTAGCTCTTACGGCCCGGGTATTTCAGATGAAATTCACGTACATGAAGTGAGAAGGTCAATTTGCTGGAATTACACATTCGAGCAGATTCTTACAGACACTCTTGTTATATTTCGTAAGAGTAGTGTCCTGCAAAGAGAGCACTACTTGCTGCTAAACAAAGCACGTTGAATAAATAGTTCACATTTTTAGACTAATCTCCAACAACTGCATAAATGAATTTATATTTTTTTAAACGACGTCTTGCGTCTCTCATCCTTGTGTAGACTACTGGGAAGCTATATCCTTTTCAAATATGCTACCGAAGGAAATTTAGTAACGCTGCCTATACTCAATGCTGAAATTCCCCGAATGTTAAAGAAGCAAGCAACTTATCACTCAAAGTACTCACTGTTACTGTTGCAGGATGCAATAGGAACCTTTATATTTTAAATGTACCAATAGATCCAAATATTCCCTTCATAGGGGCAGGTATTGCTTTATATTTTATTTAAGAGCAGATACGAAGTGCATAATTTTATGACCATAAAATCAGGCGCAAATGCTGGTATATTAGAACGGATAGGCTATTTGTACACCGTACCGAAGCTGATTAGCCTTTTCCCATGTGTCCGAAACGTAGAGGAGTCGGTAATTTTATCCCAAAAATACTCAAGCCTTTTAGGTGCCTCTGACCAGTTTGCAGGGCACAGTGGGCATTATTAGGAATTAGAGTAATTTAACATAGCTCGTAATTTTGAAAAGTTATTTTTGTTTAAGGTAAAGGTTTGTTTGGCTGACGGAATGATGCTTTGTTTAAACATTGGCCTATTTAATACTTTTGGTGCATTACATTAAAACCTGTTTGCAGTAAGGCTCACGCCGTAAATAACGGACTACCAGGACTGAAGGGACATTCGGTGGAGATAAAACATTAAGTCCGATATTGTGACGCTGTTGCGCAACATAAACATTTGCTGTTTTTTACCCTCGAGAGGTTCAATTGTTTCAGTAAACTGCAATTATGCTTGCCGAAATTATCCGTGACTAGATATTTTTATACCGTTGGGAAATCAAAAAAAGAAGTCCAAACGCACAATTCGTTATATTTTTGGGCGCAGTAGACGAGGGTGGTTTATGCATTCCTCGTTCTAGCACGTTATAATTCGGCTTAAAGTATCTTGTATGGCAATCTATTTTAAAACCTATCTGATTATATTTTGCCGCTTAAAACGGATGGGAAAGCCTCGGTTGGCGCTAAATAGTTAGGCGAAATGTGACCATTCAGCTTTGCAACTCATTACTAAAATTCGACTATGAATGTTAAAGGTTATGCTGTGCTATGATATTAATTTCGTGTAAAACTATTGGTGCAAAAAATATTTGTTTGATGTTAAGTACCAAGCAACGAGAAGAAATTAATGATATGGCTAACGTTTAGACATGCTCACAAGATCTGTTACTGCCAGCTTCTGAATCAGTCAACTTAGATGTCTTTTAATTTAAATTCTCATTGCCTTCAGGTGGCTTCATACTCAACCTCTCGCAGCCATTTGTTCATAGCGCAGTAAGCCGTTCAACTGTCTCAATCAAGTGTGCATTTCGCCGCGAAAATGACAGTCAACGAATTCGGGTACGCAACCGCCAAATTCCTGAGCAAATGCTTCACAAACAAAGCATTTGCATCTGCATCCATCAATCATAAAGATCTCCTGTCTATAAGGACATTTGTTTACTCCAAGCACTTTTAGATTAAACTTTTGCGTATGTACGCAAACACTGTCGGTCACCGCGGCATAAACATGAGCAAATACATATCGTAGTATTTGGATAATTAACACCAAATCTTTCTTTAAATTGTACTAATTCTGGTGTTTACTTGTAGATTTTGCGCCTGTAAAGAAAAGCGTCTTAGGACTTCCAAAGTTCTAGTGGAAACATGTTATTCGAAACGACTTTGCTTTACCTGAAAGCAACCTGAATGTCATTCAGCGTAACTCCGGTTACCAATAGTTTGACACAAAAGTTCAGAGATTTAACCATTTAGTTAGAACAAAGTAGTCACACCCCGATAGGTTGCCTTGGAAAAGCATAGTTATTTATTGCCAATCAGTAGCCGTGCCTATTTCTGTTAAGTAACTAGTATTTGAGATGCGGAAGCACGAACTGCAACGTACAGTATGTGGGCTAACTCATGAAACGTCAACGGAGATTCCCAAATGTGTTTTCATTTCGAAAAGATTAATTAAGTATGGTTGTAAAACTAGTCATTCTGCAACATAATTCTGTAATACTTCAGCTACCTCAGAATACCGACCTTTGAACGAACTTCTTTTTAGCTGCATACAAAACTATACTCTGTAAAAATGCCTACTTAAGTATCATGCTTTTTTCACATTGATTTTAGATGCCCTGAAAAATTCAATTATAATTCGTGGAAAGCATGCATAAAATATCTAGTCTCTTGATCATTCGGTAGAAAACGACATTTTCTTTCAATTTTATGCTAGAAAGAGGGACATAAGTTGGTTTCAATAAAGTTTCCAATTGTGAGATTTTTAATACCGTGAAATATCCGTTTATAAAACGTCGTGTCTCTGCATTTACGAACATGGCTTGTAAAGTTAACAATAAGGCTCAAATTCACTGCCAAATTTTACTAACCCCATATAGTCTCCTCTCAATACCGCACAGAAATGTATTGTTTTCCCTGCGCGGAAAATAGACGGCTCGTAGTTTGGAAACCCTGAATGTAAGTGTAACGGCAGTTTGGGTTCAAAATTATTCGGGAATTGGAAACGTTTTTGAAAACCGAATTATATATTTTCTCCGAGAATAAAATTGGCAGATGACGTCATTTCCTACCGAATGAGCAAAAGAATGAATATTTTTATGCATGTTTTCCATGAAATATAATTGAGTTTTTAAGGGCATCGAAAATCAAACGAGAAAAGTTCATGCTGTTTAAGTAGTTATTTTTGCAGAGTATAGTTTTTCCTTGCGTTTGAAAAGGAGTTCATTTGAAAGCTAGCATTCTGAGGAAACTGAATTATTACAGAATTATGTTGCAGGCTGACTATTTTCACAACGCTTCTTGATTAATCTTTTCGGAACGAAAACGCATTTTAGTATTTCGGTTGACATTTCATGAGCCAACCCACCTACTGTAAATATCCTTTAGCTAGTTTAGATTGACGTTTGGACAAGATGAAAATCAGGGTTTTATGCAAGATATTCACTTGCCTAGATCATTTTGAAATGTTGGGCAACATTTCCGGGCGCCTATGCTGCATCTACTCCGCGGGACCCCTTATATACGGGTTGCAATATAATGTTGGCGCCTAGCGTAGTTCGTCGCGCTTGAACTGCGGATAGGTGAATGTTTTTCCCTCGCCTCCACGAGTACATGCCAGTTCCTTTTTTCCACAATGTGCACCTTCTGTTTTCATTCTCGGTGATGAAGTGGTCCCTGCCTAGCCTCCGTTGGACTGAGAGAGTTTCACCTGAAGTACTCAATAATCCGTTAGACTCAGATTTAAAAATTGCTTGAGACACCATGTGAAATTTCGTTCTGACTGGTGTGTCGACTATTGTTTGCCTGTCTCTATAGGGATGGCCTATGGGGTTTCGCATCTACACGGCACAGCGAAGTATATATGCATTCATACACTGGTGTGTGAACGTCATTCCAACGTTATAGTGAATAGCTGATTATTCCAAAGATGAGTTACTAAGGGCAGGGCTAACTGCCTTGAAAAGCTTTATCATCATAAGTCTGGGTTTCCGCAGTGACGCCAAAGCATACGGGAGGTTATTGCTAAAATCTAAGCACATTCTCAAGTTGTAAGCACGCTGACACAACGGTTGTCGGTTGAAGTTTGCGGTTCGTTTCGTTAAATTGCCCATTTGAATCTGTATTTCACAATCTGATCGTCTCTATGGTTATTTCTTTTAACACAATCCACTTATTCCTTTACAGTTTAAGGTTTACTCCGATTACCGAACTCTTTGTGGAATCGGTCATCTGGACTTGCCACCTTGCAGTGAGTCATTTGCGTTTGCTGCATAAACATTAAGACACCGGTATATTTTATAAACGTCTGCCTTTATTTTTCGCTCCAGAAAACGTCGTTTTCGACACAAAGATGGGCACAGTTACGGTGACGGTTAACGTTTACAGGGGAGACGTCAATGAGGAGCGTTATGGACTGTTCACTTGCCAGTCCGAGAAAATGGAGGATCTTCACCATCTGGTTGATTTTGGGCCAGCAGTGTAGGTACGCAATTGACGCCAGGTCGCGATAAGCTTAAATCCTTAACATGCTTACGAATTCTAGTAGATGTACTAACTCATGAAATCTTTTCGACTCGCAAAGATTACTTAAATAAAGCTGTTACATTAATCGCCGCGCAGTATAATCCCATAATAATTTAGTTAGTTCAGGATGCCGACTTTTAAACGAACTTCTTGTGGCCGCCTGCGAAAATTATACTCGGTAAAAAATGACTGCTTGAGTAACATGAAATCTTCTCATGGGTTTTCCATGCCCATATATCCGAATATATTCCATGAAGACCACGCATAAAATATTTATTCTTCCACTCGCTTGATGTAAAATTACTTTTTGAAATGTTATACATGAAGTAGGAGCATAATCCGGTTTTACAAATGTTAATAATTATGGGATTTTTCAAGACCGTGAGGTGTCCTTTTATTAAACATCATGTCTCTGCATTTACAAATGTTGCTTGTAAAGTTTACAATAAGATGAAATACAGCAAAAAATGTTGTTAACCCCTGTACGGTTTCCTCTTGATACAGAATAGGAATGTATGGTTTTCCGTACACAAAATCTTTACAGCTTCTAGTTTGGAAATCCTAAATGCAAGCGTAACGGCGTGTTGGTTTCAAAATTATTCGGAAACTGTAAACGTTTTTTAAATCAAATTGTGCCCTTCTGTCAAGTATAAAATTTGAAGAAAAAGTGATTTCACTACCAAATGAGTAAAAATACACATTTTCTTTATGAAATATTTTTGAATTTATAAGGGCATGAAACAATTTCATGTTATTTAAGCAGTCATTTTTTCCCGAGTGTCATTTTTGCAGGCGGCCGAAAGAAGTTCATTTAAAAGCGGGCATCCTGAAGTAACTGAATTATTATGAGATTGTGCTGTGCGGCGATTAATGTTAAAATCCTACTTTAGTAAAATTTTCGAGTCGAAAACGCATTTCAGGATTTCCTTAATATTTCGTGAGTTAGCACTTTTAATGTATTTTACTTTCCACATGCCACGCATGACATTTGACTGTTTTAAATATCCTTATCAAAATTCGAAGTCTATCATAAGCGTACAAGTTTGTATTCTGTTGCGGCTTTTATATCACAACGGAATTTTTTTATTAAATCTTCATCTCTTTAGCAAACAATCGGAATCCACCAGTGCATGCCGTGTACACTTTATACTTTTGTTTCAGTTGTTTCAACTTCGTTTGGAGGAGAACAAGTAAATGACGCAGCCTCTTGCTGCTGATTTGGTGACGGTGTTCATTCTTTCTCTCTTTCTCTCTCTCTCACTATACGAAATACAACCTAATGTGCTTAGAAATTTTTGTAGTTAATAAACTCTCAGGTCATTCTCAACCGCTTTAAATCAGCTACTGGAGAGGCGTGTGGTTTCTGTGACCCAATTCATTCTCCAAACTCCGTACATAAATTAATGGGTACAGATCGAGATTATATTTTCTATATTTCTCATCGAATACATCAACTTATTGTACCTGCTATCTAATAAAATGTTTGGTGTACTAGGATACCATATGGACAGTTATAATAGAAGTAAGCTCTCCTATGTTGCAGTGGTTTATTTGTTGAGCAACGCAGAACACATTGGTCAGAGTAATTTGGTGAAGACGCCTGTTTTCGCTTAAAGTACAATAGAATACAACAGATTTTATTTTAAACCTGATTTGGTTTCGACCGCGACTACTGATAAAGTCCAAATGCTTTACACACGACGCCACAAATGCGGCTGTTTCCATGGCATGGCATATTTAATATTAGCAGTACCAAAATTTTGTCGAAAGTCACCTTTGGCAATTGCTTCCTTCATACCGCACTTGAAACCATTCAGGAGATTTGATAGCAAGTTGAATTTAACTTAGAGTCTGTACTACAAATTGGGAGTTAGAGAATTGTGACGGTCGTATGGATTTCACCTGGTGAGCTCTCTAATTTGCTGCGGACACGTTCGACTTAAAGTTCACATCCGGGGGAACGCAGAAGGCTCGACAAAAAAATAGAAGCATGTTCCATAAAATATATGGGAGACGATGGCTAACCCCTTTGAGGTCCGAAGTGCTCGCAGTCGCGTCATGCAGCATCACGCAAATAATGGAGCAGGTGGCTGGGCTTTTGACTAACACCCGTGGTGTTAATATGGCAATTCAGTTGGCGTTTGCGTAACTTTGTGTACCGACAAAGAAAAGGGAGACTGGAACGGCCATTTCTGGCTTAGTAGCCGTCGTCAGCCAGCCACGCCCGGCCTCGAAGCGTGCAACACCCGGGACTCGACTCCACGACCTAAGGCACAGAGAGACGAGTGAGTTCCGTGAAACAATCGGCGAGCGCCCCTCTACCACTGTATATTCCCGATCGAAACCGACAGGATAACGAGCCCGTGGCTCAGTAGAAAGAGACATTGGACTTTTAACCAACAGGTCGCGGAATCGAGCCCTAGCTCTTGCACACTTCGGAGTTGGGCATGACTGGCTGACGACAGCTAATAAGCCAGAAATGGCCACTCCAATCTCCCTTGTCTTTTTCGGTGATAGCATTCTGCCTATATCATGCGTCGCTGTAAAGCTGAGAGTTGGGCTCGAGAGAGAGAGCCCTAAGGCACAACGGAACGAGTGAGTTCCGTATAAACGATCGGCGAGCGCCCCCCTACCATTAATATAAATAGCAAAGCCTGAATTTCGCACGATGATCCGCTGAAACTGTTTTATTTCAGCCCAGCTACTTCATGTTGACTTTTGGACCGAATGTAACATTTTTTCACAGAATGCTGGCTCCACATTCGCATACCAGTTTCTGAAGAAATCAAAAAGCCTAGCATGCATGTCTGCTTAAAGAGACCATGTGCTTTTATTGTCAGATAGACAAAACAGCGTTAGAAACGTAAGTGGAAAGCGACCCTGCTAGGACCAGTCCCGCTCTGCCCCGTCAGCTCCCCAGGCCCCGACGCGGATGGACGGGCCTAACGGCGGGGCTACGACGGGGCTGTGGACGCGATAGCCCCTTATTGCCCCGTCGTCGAATAAAAATGCGCAGGGGGACGCCATCCTCTCCGTGATATTAACCCCACTTTAACGTTACCGTTATTTTCCCTTACCTTATTCCCCGTACAATAGGTTATACTATTCTACATGGGAACGCGGAACACCCATACCCCTTACGTGTGCAAAGTTTAAGCCACCCTCATTAACTACAGTGATTGCGCCGACAAATCATACGTGTACCGAGGTCTACACGAACCAAAACAATGGACAGCATGTATATGCATGCGGAAGTTTAAAGAACATGCAAAATAAAAATAAGCGGTGTATGGGACACACATTTGTATTGTTCAGTCAATTAATTGGCATCGTTCTGTTAACAGAATACGCCACCCACGGCATACTCCCTTGAGAACAAAAAACTCAGCCACAATAATAATTCAATAATTCATTTCATTATCACTTTTAGCAATATTTTTGTTTTAGTAGACGGCATGCGTGGCGTATCATTTAACTTACCGTCAGAAATTTTAACTTACAGGATGAAAAAATTACCGGATAAATTATTATGTCAACAATACCTCATAAATACATTTAAGGGTGACTAAAGGAATATTACGGCAGCTGCAATTCTTGTCTTTAAGTCCAATTCTACAGACTATAACAAAACGTTTACTTATTTCAATGGCATATTGCATCACATAGAAGCATGAAGAAAGGAATGGATAACGTACTGCAGACCCAACGATCCGGATATAGAATATCGATTAAACAGCCGTATCGATCCGGCGTGCATACAGTCAGCATAAAAGTGCCGTCCACGTGGCCGTGTACATGGCCCACTTAAACAAGACCAATACTCGCCTTAGAGAAGAATGAATTTCTGTCGATTCTATTCATCCGGAAATGTATTGTGCTGGCCACACAGCCTATATTTAATTATAAGAGCGCAAAAATTTACCCGATATAAGGCAGACTGATGTCATTAGAAGCGACAAAATTTCATTAAAACTGCACGGGGCCTAGCCTCGTATAGCGCCGCATTTCCCCGCAGGCCATGTGTGGACAGGGCAGCAATAAAATTACGTTTGAAAATTCATTATTAATGAGCTTTATGCAACCAACTTCATATATATGGTTACTTATAAAAAAGGTTACTTCAGTAGCATGCAAATTTCCCATTAAGCTTACAAACCGATTTTTTTGTCTGCAGGAACCTCCCGTGGCGAACAAAAGAGATGCCACTAGTTAAATATATCCCCCAGTAGACTACCTGTACTCTGTGTTAATTTCCTTTAAACGTTTACTGTTTTTCAATTCCCCAGTAAACATCTTTTGTTTATGTCTTATGTTGTCATATTGGTTGCTGCCTCGCGCAGCATTTGCTTGTGCAATTAATCGGGTGGAGGGAACCATGGGTAGGGCACGATAGGATTGGTTTCCTGTATCTAGTGGTTGCGCGGCAGCCCATTTGCGTCCGGCGACGGACTCGACCTCAAAAAGGGGAGCCGGGAGGGAGTGAAAACGCGAGCCCCCTGCGTATTTTCGACGAGGGAGCCAGCGGGTCCACATCCGCTCATGTCGTATCATAGCCTAGCCTTGTAGTGCGCCCCAGCCCAGTTTTAGCCATTTCCAGCATAATTTGGCCAGAGTGAGTCATGTTGGACTGGTGTTAGCTGGGTAAATTACTAAAAAAATATTGCATACCTTTGTGTAACTTACCGCTTACTTGCTAATGAATTACAGATTACTACTTATTTATTAAATGATTTGATGCATAAGTTATTTTCGACGACCACATACATGCTAGTAGTAATTAAATGTGAGAAGTTGTTTTGTAAAGTATAAGTGTCATTAAGTCCAGTTTGTTTAAGTTCACTTACTGTGTCTTCCGATGGAGACATAGATTAGTCAAGGCCGCTGTAAGCGGTCTCCTGGGGAACCTGATTGAACTTGTTGTAATTACTCAACGTTAAATTCTTCACCTTCTGAGGTGTGTCCCGGCGTTTAGATCGGCTGTTGTAGCGACCCATGCCTCCTGTAACGTTCCTTGACCTGAACAGGGTTGTTTGAATGCCAGGACACTTTTGGCGCGGATCTGGGATGGCGATGGTGTAACTGCGTGCTGATGAAGACGACCGGTCCCCCTTCCTCTCGCTACCGCCGACACCCCGTCCCACAACGCACCGGCGTTCTTGTCACCCTCTCTCACTCAACGTCGGCTCCCCTCCCCCCTCGGCCCTTCACCGCAAGTTGCCCACAAAGATGCATCCCCACCGGCTGTTTAACTAGCATGTCACGGTCGCCTCTCCATCCAGACAGGTTATCTCATTGCTGTTTCTCATTCACATGTACACTAACAATTATTGTACGCATCTCCCGTGCCCATCTCGTTATATTATACTATATCCCTTACGCGACGTACCTTATTCTCCTGCGGGTGAATGAGTATCAAGAGATGTTAACAGTTCTGTTCAGACATACCCCCGTCAGGATCTCTTCTCAACGTTTCCTTACTTTGGTATGTGCTACCCTTAACGTTCTCGGCCGCTACATCCGTGGAATCACTCAATCACAGCTTGGCGAATAACTTCAGTTGGAACATACTGTGCTGCGGATTTTGGCGTATGTTATCCATAGGTGTGAAAAAATGAATGCAAACCTACCATTGAGGAGGGAAAACAGGACACTACCCAGGAACAACCTTTTCCTGCGGAACCTGCCCAACAGAAATTGAAGCATAAAGGAGGTCTGAGAATAGCCGCCAGCAGGTGCCTGATGAACTCTTTTTCTGTTCGTTCTCCGGCGGTCAACAGCTGTTTTATCTATTGTCTATAATGCGTATCTGCGCTTGTTTACATACCGTTCCCTGTGCAATATTACTGTCGGTGCGTATCTTGGCAATAAAGTCCTTTTATGCCTCATTTATGCAGAAGGGCAACTAAAGAACAGGGCTTATCTCTGGTACCGAAGATAATCGTCTGAATCGTCCTCTAGTTTTTTTAACACGGTCCTCAGTTACTGCATGTAATTCCGGGAGTAAAGGACTTGTTCTGAAAGGTAGTCCATTTTTCTGAGAGGATTTTTAAGGACAGTATGAATGACTTTACCGGATTCATGACAGCGCCTATTGCACAAACAGGTAACAATGCTTTTGTGCTGTAGGCGCGGGTTTGACCGTCGGTTGTTTACAGTGACAATGTAATAAAACCTAATTACTGATAAGAGGTCGCCTCCGCGTGCAGGCGTATTCCTAAAGCCGCTAAGGTCCCTCAATTTCGACGCTAACTGTCTCAAGGGAATTTTCTGCATGTCGTCCTAGTGTGGTTCGTGAGGTCTTCCATTATTGTTGGATACTCTCTTAGGTCAGTGCATCCTGGCAAGTATTGAATCGTCACATTTGCCTCCGCAAGTCTAATGTCAAATCTCAAGAATCCATTGAGTTGCCTAAACATCGATGGATCTTTGGACTGTCTAAATCCTGCGAGTATTCCCGCGTTTGTATAAAAAGTCAAGCTGGCAAACATATATTTCCGGTACCTCATCACCAGCCCCATATATTTACCTAAAAACTGAAAATATGAGACTTCCACAGGGTTTATAAACACTCATCGTTCCCACGCCACTCGCACAACCAGGTCGGCAAGTTTTGGTCATTGGAGCAAGGGGTGACATAGACTGAGTAACGTTTGTGATTTTAATGTGGAAAGAGTACATTGCTGCCATCAGGTGGTTGGGGCGTCATGCGATAACAAGCCGGGAGTGGTGTTGGCCACGGAAGACAGAGTGTCTACGTCAAGGTCTTCTAATAAAATAACAATTTTTCTTTATCAACAGTATAATTTATGGCATTTCAAAGGGACTTGAAGGTTGCCTTAGGTTTGCCGGATGAGACTTCTAAACTGCAGCATGCTAGTTGTGCGTGAGACAACGTGATTTCCCACAGTTTTTTACATATGAAACCGTAACGAATGCAATTTTCTCAGCTTAATTTACAAACCCATATTCCCGTAAGGAGTCCATCCGAAAATATCTGGGGCCTAACTATCAGATAAAAGCGCACGGTTTTGGCACATAGCATTATGCCGTGTGTCAGTCTAATCCCGCGATCGCCAACGCGGCTGCTCACCTATACCTCTTTTAGTCCACCTATTCGCACCTTGTCAACCTATCACTTGGCACTAACGGAGCTAGACCGAGAAGCCAATAGACGCTGCATCCTTCAGTGACTGGCCGCAGGTGGATTACGCCCAGGCGTGCGGAAGAGCCTCACACCGTGGTTTAAAACCGCAACGCTTGTATCAACTGCCTGCTGAGTAGCCTTGGCTCTCTGTTGCCTCAATTAAGGTTGTCCGAATAAATGGCTACCTTGACTTGTGATTCAGGAAACCTCGAGTTGTCGATCATCGTAGCACAGACACGTGGTAGCCCATTCTATGCACCGCTTTGCTCCTACAAATCTGCGACATAGGCATGAGATTATGGTAGGCAACTTTTTGTCAGAAGAAAAATATATTTTGACACCCGTTTCGAACATTTTTTCGACCACCCAAATTAGTCAGATTTCTGAATGGCTGGTAGAGGACGCACGGTTTCGCCAAGCTCGGTATTATAGCGCCTTACACTGCCTCACTCCATTCTTAGAGTTTCGGCGAAGTTTAAAGTTAGAGATACCGAATCTATTTTAAGATTTTGCTCATCTTTGGAGGCAGGCAGTTTTGCTTTTGCCAGAGAGCCAACCTTCCTCATCCACCCAGCAAATCCAGCGTACACTTTCGTCTAATCACAACACAGCCGACACATGCTGATATCATACTCTCTTTGGTGCCCATGACTGTCGCCGCATAGGCCCTACTCCCAACAGGGCAAATGGGTAAAGCGGGCCAGTCCGGAGGTCGTCGTAACCAATCGTCCTGGCGTCTTCAGCCCTGCTGTCACTATTAATGTCTGCAACAACCAAAGTGGTTGACGCTTGCCTGTCGACGCTGATACATAACTGAGTGACTTTCCTTACGCAGCTGCCAACCGTCAGCGCTTTAACTTCCGCTTCTTTCTCCAGGCCGACCTCGCTGATCGCCACCTTCTGTGTCTGTTTCCTCTCGCTTGATATCGGCCCCCGGCCTGTCTTCTCCAGGGTCTTTGTCGTTGCTGACGTCCCCGTGCCATAATCGGTGCAGACTTCCTCGCCATTTTTGATCTTCTGCTCGACTGTCGTCTGACCCGTCTACACGGCCAGATTACCAACCACACCATCTAGAGTATCTCTTTCTCTGAGGCATCCCGTCCGGGATCCTGACCCAGGTAGTTCATTTCGGCTGCCCCTGTCCAATATCCAGGCCTGATCCGATCCAATTTCAGCGTATTTATTCCACCAGCACGACATTATTCCCCATATCCAAGCCACTGCCATCCTGTGTTTTCGCGGCCCCACCGTCTCGCTCCTGCACGTCTTACTGCCGCCAAGGCCAAGTTTAATTACATGCCTCAGACGGGCAACATCTTTCAGTCTGAAAGCTCTTGGGCCTCATCATCCCGCGTGGCCTCCAAGGCCACCACAGATGCCTTGTGCCCTGTGATGACCACAAGGTCTTTAAAGCGTTACCATTCCAGAGCGCTACCCCATTCACCGTTCTCAGGATTTTTCCGGTGCCCAACTTAGCAAGTCTGTCTTTCCGAAGGTCGATCAGGTCGGGGTTTTCCATCTAATCCCTAACGTCCTGGAGGACTTATCATAGACTGCTGTTTTTCACTCTTTTACCACTTTGAATTCCCACCCATGTCGTCTGAACTCCACAACGCCCTCGGCTTTCCAGAGGTTTATAGAGAGAGCACTTTGCGGCCTACCCTTTGCCTACGCGCATATTGACGACCACTTTGTGTTCGACGTAACCCATCTGGCCGACCCTGTTTCCGATTCACGTATCTTCTTAATGGACGAATGTCGCAGGTAGCGCGTTTCTCCCGAAGCACCTCGCGGGCATGATTCGCCGTAAAGTTTCTTTCTCCAGGAAATTATCGACCAACGAACTGTGCTATGGCGCATTATGGCAAGAGTCTCTGACCGTAAACATAGCTGCGAAACACTTTCTTTAGGACATAGAACTCTGTATTCGCAGACCACACGCATCTTTCGCTCCTTCCCAAGTCGAAATTTGCTAAGCCTAACCCCGGGGGATTCACCAACTGAACTAAATTTACCAACTTGCCACAAACATTCTTTGTATCAACAGAGCACGAAATAAGGTGCTTGGCACCCTACCCAAGCCCTTCATCACTCATCTACAACTGTTCACCGGAATCGAACTCTATGAGGTGGCTGTGACGAGGATGCTTCCGGACTTGGATTTCAGGACGATCCTCGGAATACTGGCAATAGCGCCATTCCGTGACAACTACAATGCCTCCCACACTCCCTTTGTGCCGTCACTCCTCCGCCGCAAGTTTCTGTCTTCCATCTTGGGAATCTAAACATCGACGATCTGATCTGTACTCGCTTCCCATGAGAGTGACCGTGCTGTCAAAAACAGGCACAGGCACAAAATCCCCCATTCAGAACCTTTCAAGGCTCTGGTATAAGATTCAGTTATCTGGACTTTGTAGTCCTGCTGCCTCCCTCCAGTTGTTGTTCCCACATTCTTTTCGAGTGTACCGATTACAGTAGTTGCCGGAATCCATTCTGTGCTCAGAAAATTCCATGAGGTGCAAGCAAACTAATCAAAGGACGTGACTCACTACCCTATAAATCGCGTTTGTCTAATCTCCAAATTTGGCCCTTGAAATATGGGCAGCTGCTTTATGACGTGACATAAATATTCCTCAGGGCTGTCGCCTTGTACAATGTGGTTTCATCTGGTTGGCAACTACAATGAACCTGCGAGCACGTAAACTAAATATGCGTGTGACTGGGGCTAAGCGAGTTGTCGGTGCCTGGAACGGATTTTCCGAGGAAGTGATAAGGGCGGACGTCACTGAGACATTTGAGCAAAGACTGAACGGATATTTGCAAAAACGTATCGCTTAAATGGACAGGACGGCTCTTTTATACCGAACCAACGCTTTGCATACACGTACCTCTAATGAGGGTGTTTTTCATTTCTTATCGTTATCGTCCGCAGCTGAGGGTGCCCAAAATGCTGTCCTCGCACCTTCAAAAACAATACTCAGCAAAATGTATATGTTACTGACAACATTCTAATAATATGTTGATTCGATGTCGAATATTGCATGCACTGTTTTCAATAGGATCTTCAAAGGCATTTCCTATTGCCCTCGAATATGCATAACTACAGAACCATAAGGAAGCTCTCATCCTACAACAGAGTGGCTAAGGAATATACGCACTGATCACATAGTTAATGTTTGCAATTTTATTTTGAGTGGGAATCTGCGAAAACATTGTACACAAATAGGGTCATCAAGGGCTCTGCGCCTAACCCTTTAAATACATACATACCACTGCATACACTGCCTTCGAGTCTTGTTATACCCATATCCGTATAGGTTTTTATGATAAAGATGCGCATCTTACTGCCTTTTGCGGTTGAATAAAATGAACCTCCTTATCCACTGACGCTCCCGGGAAACCTTAGGTTAATGATTTCTTGCCCCTTACCATCCTACTGCGTGCGAGCCATTGGCGCTTATTCACAAAGCTTACTTTCTGCCGCTCATTATTTCACGAAATCACTAATTTTACGATTAGTAATATCATATTAGGTTCTCAGTAGGGTTTTGAATCTGCTTTAACTACAGTTCTTCACACGAGCGAATGCTTCCGTCGAGGTAACGAAAGGTTTGGTTTGCGTTGACTTATTAAAGAAACTGACTTAAAACCAAATCTACCTCCACTGTGGCAACACTAAAACGGAGGTTAGCGCATTTCGCCAGGTAGAAATGCGATGAGGTCGTGTGCTCATTGTTCTGCCCACACCTTGGGTTAAGCTATTAAAGCGTGTAAATAGCACAAAGATATGCTCGAATATTTCTGATCTTACTATCACTGTCCCCTATGCCTGCCTTATTGGATCTCGTCAGCAGCTGTTGTTCGTTATAATCATTCACGCGATGGTGACCGCTTTCGCGGAAAGATAAAAATTAGCTCACCATGTATAAACTCGATTTGCCAGTTGACCGCAAAGAAGCTGCGGCAATTGAAAGACGACGGGCATTAGAGGAGCAACGAAAGAGCAGAATTTTCAATGCAAAGAACAGGCTAATCGGGGTGCGCTCTGCTAAACCATCCTTTCATAGGAATATTTATGCTAAGCAATGACGTCAAAATGTTAACGTTATTACCGATGAAATATATATAAATATTGTAACTATTGTAACTATTTATGCCCACTGTTTTTTTGAATTCCGTTTATCAGGATAACCGAAACGGTAACGAGTAAATTTGCTTCTAAATTGTTATGCAAATTGTTTCCGTTATTCGAGCTCCTCCGTGGAGTTGCAAATTAATTGGTAATTGTGACTTCTGTGCTCAAACGTTTGCTGCATGTCAAAGCTATCAAATTTGAGCTTTCGATTAGATAGCTGCTTCATGCATTTGACATACGATGCTCAACTAAGCTCATGATTGATATCAAAATAATTTCAAAAAGAGCAAACTCGCCTTGCTTAGACATTGGCTTAAGCCAATTAAAATAGATACGCAATATCCGACGCCTTTTTATCTTGAGATAGGCCGGGTACAGTTAGTTATTTAAAACTAAGTTTCAGATATATCCGTACATGTTTTTAAGGGGATATTATGTCTTTTGTGGGGTTCAGAAAATTTTGATGTTAAATAAGGCCTCGGTCCATTTAGGCCGCGAATATGTCCAACCATAATATATTTTATGAAAAAAGCAAAAACGATTTAAATCCCTCCAAAAATATGCTTGGAACTCATACGATTTCTCATTCCTAATCTCTGCTGCACACATAAACCGAAATGGAAACCAGTTGCAAACATCCGTCAAAGTTCATTTTTTATTTTATTAAATGGTCTTTGTGGAAGCCTAACGTTTAATGCTAACGAATGCAACTTCTCTCTCATCTTTGTTTTCCATAAGTAGTATTTACAGTTAACAGACCATGTACTTTCAGGTTGGCGTCTGTGACACGGACCCCCCACGTTTATTTTGTGAATCATAAACACCTCAAGGTATTTGCGACTCAGTTTGCTAGTTTGTCAGATAGCATTGCACTTCTAGCTTTGCAGAATCTATCACTTTTACCAGAGCAATTATCTAATTAGATACTCACTCTGGTAAAAGTGATAGATGCTGCAAAGCTATAAGTGCAATATTATCTGACAAACTAGCAAACTGTCATCAACTAAAAATGAAGACAAAACAACAGAGAAATGAGAAGACTATATATAGTCTCGGAGTCTACGAAATTCAACTCCCATGACATAAAGATACAAAAATATTAACTACTGCATTCGTAGTGTTTGTGGATAATGCTTAATTGGTATTGGTTGCTTGCATGATAAGACAATCGTATAAGCTTTCTTGTTAGTGATGATGTGCCAAAAATGAACTCTTAGTTATCTAGCAAAGGCTCTCACGCAGATGTGCAACAAACTATAATTACTTCATAAATAACGTGGCATTTGTGGAATGTGTTTGTTAGATTTTCTGTTATTACTTAACATGTGCCAACCTCTTGCCAAAAGCGTGCTGTTATTAACTATTTATGCGTAGTTTTAGAGGAAACCCTAATTTTCTTAATTTTATTTCGATTCTTATAATGGCGACAACCTAATAACCTTATTCGACGGAAGAGTTGCCCTGACGTTAATCAGATTAATATCTTTTTATGGTCCTGAACAGAACCTTGTGGTTACAAAAATTCATCTTCTGTATTTCTAAGAGAATCTGTCAAATAACTATCAACTTCTCGCATTTTCCGTAAAAACCTAAAAATAAGCTAAACAGAATGCTGCATATCCAAAAATTTGCTTTAGGACGTTATGCGGCATGCTCTATTAGACAATATCCGGGATACTCGAAGATCCCCTCCAACCCGTCATATCTCCTTTGAACTTTGTCGTCTCGCTTCCAAAATAACCTTACGTATCCTTAGTATATGGCTGGCGACTAGCACTCTGATTGTCGGAAACTACGACTGTAAATGAAAATTTGAATCAAAATAATCGTACTCCAGACATGCTTATAAGTTGCCCGCACAAACCTGTCAATATCAGACTGCAAGCGTTTTCTTGTAAATGTTTGATCATATCTTTATATTGTGAATTACCTACAATCCCAAATGTTTCCTCTTTCTATTACTAACTTTTAGGAAAACATGTTGCTAAAAGACTTGCTATAGAACATAAACTGCTGGCCACCCTAGGGAAATATTAAATATTTCAGGGATGTTAAACAGCAGTACTTTTGGACCGATTGCACTTCAGTCTGTTGTAATATCAAATGTTTTACATTCCTTGCATTTAGGTCGATGAGCGAGCCCTGGCTCAACAACTTAAGGAAAAGAAGGAGCGCGAAGATGAAGAGCATTGCAGGGAATTAGCTTATGGTAAGCCATCTGCATCTAAAGAGAGGCGGTAATTTTATCAGTGAAAAGACTAAGTACCTCTTTTCTGACCAATATCTGGTTCCAAACTAAAACCGAATTTAAATGCAAAAGCCCTGGCGTCACACACACACACACTTCTCTAGGTCCTTCATGTTTTCGGGGCATTCAGAGAGGTTAGGAACAAAGCTACCCAGAAAAGGATTTCCAACTTATATAGAGTGCAAGAGAACTTTAACATTCTTAGATACTTCACAGAGGATCATTTCTTTTATCGAGCAAATAAGGTTTTGGATAAAGTTAATAATTGTTTGCTTTGATTACTTCCTTTTTGGGTCAAACTCGCTTCTTGTGTTGGCAAGAGGCATAACGTTAACCTATTTGGACGTGATTATAACTCAAGAGTTTTGATGCTTTTCTAAGTGGATTGTTCACTATTTCCGCGATAAAAACAATTTCTTAAAGGATTTATCCTTTTGAAAGTGCGCAGTAATTGCCTTGTCCAATTATGCACTTTATGCAAGGGAGATGCTGCCAAGATATTTTAAAATTTCAGTGGATATTACTACAATCCCCTCAGAAAAGCATCAAGTCATCTCAGCATGCGATTGGAACCATGTTTGCGTGTGTTATTGCTGATGACTGGATTTATGCTATAAGAACGTTTTCAGTGGTGCGTAACCAAATGCGTACCTTATAAAAGTCAATGCCTGAAGGACCGTTCGAAGATTTACAAAAAGCATTTCATCGTTAGCGTCCTCCTAGGATTCGTCAATATTTTTTCAAACCTTTGCTAACCTGACTGTGTGAACAATTTTCCAAAATGTCTTAGCGACTTAGGAGACTGAATTTGATCCGCTAGTTTTATTCGTAAACGACAGTTAGTAGGCTACTTCTATTAAAAGTCCGAACGCCAATCTAAACTGCTTTAAGTCGCTTAACGTGCAACAGCTTGAGGGATTACCGTTGACGCCCTACACTGACCCAAGAAACTGGACTTAGATGACTTTTAATGAGTTTCTCAAAATTTTATCTTTCTTTTCGCCGGTTACAGAGGCACGCACTGGACAGCTTTAATGCGTACAAGTTGGTGTATAAGATTGTCTATGTGGCATTTATGTTTTAAATACGTTTAATTGCGTTCGCTTTCATAGACCGTCGAAATTGACCTGACGCTATGCGGAATACTGATTGGTTTTCGTAACTATAAAGCCACAGCGCATGCCTTAATCCCGTTCCTAAGAAATTGCAACCTTATTTCACTTTAGGGCTGCGAACATATATCATTAAGGGTGATTTCGTGCTTCTGCCGCTGAATTTTATGTCTGCAATCGACAGCGCAGACCAGCTTATAAAAAACATGAGGGAAGAAAAAGAAGGAGAAAAAGGAGAAGATGAAGAGGGGGAAGGAAATCGTTTTATGATTAGGGGATGGGCGGGCACCCAAATGATGAATAGCTATTTATAGTAATTAGTGACAAAACAATGCCACTGGATCCTTGTGTGAGATCACGATGTCCAACATGTTGGAGGGGTGCAAAACACTATTCCGACGCTTAAAGTAAGCAACCGCCCTGCCATATCGCTTTCTCTACTGACCAAAACCGATTTAAACTCATAAAGGGTGACAAAGAAGCTGGTTCGGCAGGCGTAGTACACGTTTTGCTGGTGCATTCCTTCCTTTAATGCTGATGGCCGACGGCGTCACCTTTTTCATCAGTATATGTCCGTCTACCCTGTAGCGCACGATGCTGAACGGTTTGACCGGATCGCGGTCCTCTGTGAACAACGCCAACGTAAGGACATGCGGAAGTTGGATCAGGCGCTGAATGAATTTCGTTTCCTGCATCAACAACCGCAGAGTCGGCGAGAATTTGACCTTTACGACCCCGACGCTCTGAAGAAGGATAGACCGGCCAGGGTAACCGATGACGATCCTCGATGCGGCATGTCCTCGATGCAGAAGTTTATGGGTGAGGATCTGACCAGACAGTCCCGCAACAAGTACCAGCGAGAACAGATGCAGGACTGGTTTGAACGGCAGATTGAAGAACGTGAGGCCGCGGAGGCTGCATACAAGGAGGCTAACAGGTCAGTGCAGCTTGCTTGCAGTTTAAGATGAGGGTCTTTCGTTGTGAAACGAAATTTTCCGAATTATCTGTGCGAGGGATAACCTGCGCCTGTGATTCAGTAAATATTTTGAGATATAAAGCCTGTTCGGGGATATCGATTCATGTGGAATTGGTGCTCCCCCCCAAACTGGCCCTCCAAAGAAGCATACTCATTCCGTTTGGGTTTGGAGCCTTATCACGAGAACCTTCGGGCAGGTACATAGTTTATAAACAAATATGGCTCATTCCTCCGAGTGTGAAATTGAAAGAAAACGTACTTTTTACCAAATGATCGAAAAAACGAATATTTTGTGCATGTTTCCCATGAAATATAATTAAATTTTTAGGGCCATCGAACATAAATGAGAAAAATGTACGCTTATTAAGTAGCCATTTTTTACAGACTATGGTTCTTGCATGCAGCCGAAAAGAAGTTCGTTCGAAGGTCGGCATCCAGAGGTAACTGAATTATTATCAGTTACAACCCTACTTAATTAGTCTTTTCGAAACGAAAACGCATTTCGGAATTTCGATTGACATTTTATGAGTTAGCCCACCTACTGTATGTGTGTTAATAAATATGTCACTTTCCTTGGGGATGAACGGCTAGTATGTTATGTTTTGAAACTGGTTACTGAGCGCGTCGCCAGATGCAAGAGCACTGTACAGAAAAAGCCAACTTTTGCCCGTGTCTAATAAAAGATTCTAAATTTTGCATTTAGTAACTTCTAATGGGCGTTTTTAGTTGAATAATAAGTCCCCTGATTTAATGATTTTGAGAAATACGCCTTCCTTCGAAATTGAGTTGATGTCGTTCCTTTTGCCTGCATACTGTCAAATACTGACCGGTCAAATAATTTAATTACTGGTTTTTGACGTAAATAGTGGCAGTTGTGACGGCTTTTACAGGCTGATGGCTGCACTTGCTGTTGACGATTAATGTTTCATTAACATTTTGAGATCGCTGTTGCTCCTTTCTGGTTTTAAGAAGGGGAAGGGCAAACACAGATAGCACGGAGGCATTATCTCGCAAGTAACCGCGGCACGAGACTTTTGCTTTCCATCGGACGAGAGCTTGATAGAGTAAAAAGTGCAATTGTTTTAACAGGGCAGTACTTTCTTAAAGTGGATCTTGTCGAAAATGTATTACGCAGATGATATTTTTTGCGAAGAGAAAAGCTTTCGGCTAAAATTAACATGCCAATGGTTTGGAAAAAAGATATTTACTTTCTGACGAAAGTGGAAGGCTTAGTTCTGAAAAGATGCAGTGGTCACACACCGATAATCGCGTTGGTAACATTGGTTATCAGCCGAACCCCTTTAAAGTCGCTCTATTTAATGACACGACATCGGCGAAAATGCGCCTGGTCCTTCGCTAATATCTGGTCTGCGAGAATCAGAATCCCTCCCAGCATGTATTTGCACGCCACTTGTGCCCTTTTTTCACCTAAACTGGAAATCGGACAAATTTCTAGTAATTTTCTGCTAATTACGCTGCACTGTGAACAATGTCTTTATAACCTTATTAACGCTGAGTTTCGACCATGATAAAGGTCTCAGCACTACCTTTCCTACGTCCTAAATCTGTTAAACCAACAGTGAGTGACCTATCTCATGAAATGTTGGCTGAAATTCTGAAATGCGTTTTCGATTAGGAAGGATTACTTGGTCACGGTTGTAATACTGACTACTTGCGGCATACTCTTATGACATTTCGGACTCGGCAGGATGTCGGCTTTTAAATGCACTTATTTTTAATCTTCTGTAGAAAGCGTACTCGGTAAAATATGGCTACTTATGTAGCATGCATTTTTCCCATTGATTTTCGATGGTCTTGTAAATTCAAGGATATTTTATAGAAATCACAAACAAAAATATGCTTTCTTTTAGTCAATCAATAGAGACTCACGTCTTCTTTATATTTTATACTAAAGGAAGGAGTATAATTAGGTTTTAAAAAAGTTTCTAATTATGAGACTTTTTAAGACCGCGATATGTCCATTCACATAGCATCGTGCCTGGCCGTTTAGCACCGCTTCCCATGAAATGAACAACATGGTCCGCATTCATTGCAAAATTTTATGGACTCTGTATAAGATCTCTTTAATGGCATAGAAATATATGTGATTTTCTTTACGCAGAACGCATGCACCTTGTAGAGTGAAATCACTAAGCGCTATGCAACGAATGATCAGGCTCCAAATTATTCGGCAATTGGAAAACTTTTTTAAAACCTAATCTTACTCCTTCCTTAAGTATAAAGTACAAAGCAGACGTAATTATCTGTTGATTGACTAAAAGAAAGCATATTTTTGTTTATGGTTTCTATAAAATATCTTTGAATTTACAAGACCATCGAAAATCAATAGGAAAAATGCATGCTACTTAAGTAGTCATTTGTTACCGAGTACGCTTTATACAGGAGATTGAAAAGAAAGAATAAATGCACAGTCAATGACTATCACGAGCGCGAACGATATCCCAAGTGTGTGCTAATGAAGAAGAATCATGTACTTTGGATTTTTACTAGAATTCTACCTTTATCCGTCTCTACCTATTCTGCTTTTACTACTTTTAAGTTACATCACCTGGACTATTTTAAAATGATGTCACACATAGTGCTCCCGTCTCTCTTTGCCTCACGGTGCCCTGTTAAAGTGATGAAACGTGAATTCTCTTAGTTATCTGAGTACAACTCTAATTGTACCTCGATCGTTTTAACGCTTATTAAGATTGCTGGCAAATCCCCCTTCTACCAGCATGAAATTGCGTACTCCGGCGACAATTTATCTCCCCTTTGCCCGCTACCTGTAGATATTAAGTAGACATTTCTGAGTAGATGGCGTAGCGATGGGCTCACCGCTCGGCCCGTTCCTCGCAAATGTCCTCATGGGCAAAGTCGTGATGACAATTTTACAAGGCACTATTAATGACTTCAACTTCTACGGTCGGCTCGTGGACGATATTTTCTGCCTGACGGATGTTACCACCGACACAGACGCCCTGGTTCAAAAATTCAACAATGCACACCCCTCGCTGACGTCCTCTGCAGAGTTTGAGGCAGACAATGAAATCGCGTTCCTCTATGTTCTTCTGCACAGACAAGGGGATGTATCTATTCAACGGAGGGTATTCCGGAAGAAAGCCTGGGCGGGACAATACATTAATTTTCACAGCTTTGTTACCCTAAATATTAAACGCAATTTGGTCCAGGGTTTGGCGTCTAGAGTGCGACGTATCTGCCCTCCTGAGACTGTTGAGGCAGAACTCCAGCAGCTGCGGGATATACTCCACGAAAGCGGATACCCAGAAAGATTTATCCTTCAAAATATAGGGGAGCGCACTGCAAAGCCCACCATGGCAATTGCAGAAAAGAAAGACTTATTTATAGGACTGCCTTTTCAAGGGGACGCAGCAAGGGACCTAGTAAGAAGACGGCCTAAAACAGCGATCACTAGCACTTTCCCGCGGCGAACTTACGTGCATGTTTCACGAACTCTCCCCTCCTTCGCTTGGAAGGTAAATACCGACTCCCGTTGCTGGCCACATCGATGCGTATTTACTCATTTACTTGTTCCTGTGTAGCGGGATACATTGGCCGTACAACGAGGCACCTGGAAAGGAGATTACGTGAACACATACCGGCCTGGCTATGCAGAGATGAAAAGAAATCGATGTCGAGTTCTATCCTCGCACATCTTGCCGAAATGAATCACCGTGTCGATGCCAAAGAGGCCTTTTAGGTTGTCTACCGGACACCAGCAAGCTTCTCCAGAGGCCTACGCCAACGGGTACTAGCTACAGCCGAGGCAGTAACTGTACGGCTAGCAAATCCAGTGATATTTTGTCAGGAGACTCTGGCACAGGCGCTCTCTCTTCCGTGGCCAACATCGACCCCAACGTCGCCCCAACCTCCTGATGGCAGTGGTGTGTACACAACGTGCCCGACGTACAAACATTACTCACAGCCTATGTCTCCTCTTGACTCAAGGACCACGACACGCCGACCACGCCGTAGCACGCCTCGTCATGCGAGTGGCGTGGGAACGATGGGTATAAATAGCCCCTGAATCACTTATAAGCCCTGTAACTTCGCATACTTTAAACTTCTATGTAACCGTTTTGGCCTAATGAAGAGTTACCGAAAACACGTGTTTGCCAAATTGACTTTTCAATTTCCGAATAAATTAATTGGCCGAGAGTACGGCAGTGCATTTTTCATGACTCGAAAATCCTGAATATATTCTCATGTGTAGGCTCTATGATCTGAAACGGCGAGAACTGGATCAGCGTGTCTGTGAGCTTGCAAAGGCTGAAGAGCAGTGCAAGCGTGCAGTCAATACAGCCCTGCGCCACTACAATGAAGTCCTGGCGGCCGAGCAGGCCGAAAGAGCTCGAATAAAGAAGCAACACGACGAGGACGACAATGCGACTGAGATAGCCAACTGTATATACAGCGACCTCTTGACTGAGAATCCAGCCCAGGCCACCTCGGCATTTGGCCCGCACCGAATCTGTCCTGACAGATACAAGGGACTGACACAGGAGCAGTTGGACCATATTAGGAAAACGCAACAGCTCCAGGTTGAAGAAAAAAAGGTATGTGCGTATCTATTTAAACAAACCCTCAAAAGTTATGTTTTACTTCGACACTCTTTACCCTCCGTATTCGCATTCATAAATGATAGAAGTAAGCGACTCTTCGTTACAACTATGCCCTTTGCTATAATTCCTGCTCCCATTGGCAGAGACTTATAGCGGTTTAGGAGGTTTGCTGGATTACAAGCTAGACTCGCACTGACGGCATAGATAGCCAAAGCCGCTTTTTCTGAGGTCTTACTTGCTGCAGCATTAGAAGACCCATGCGAAGAGGGCCCACATTAATTCCCTCGTGAATGATGAGCTGCTTATCGTGAAACTCACTTACCACCAAGGGACTGGAGTCTTTTTGATAAACAGACTTGTTGCACCAGTTTCATTTGGATTTGGTTCACCCGCATTTAAGTTATTTTTGGTTAACTAATGTCTGGGAGAAAAAAGGGGATAGTGGGGGAGACAGCAGACATTTATATCAAAATTGTCGAAAATTTATGTCACCAAATAACTAGACGCTATAGTCCAACACGACTCAGCAGAGCCGACCTACCATAGTTTCTCGTAACCCACGGTCGTTTCAAAGATATTATTATATTATTATTATCTTATCTTGTAAAAAACGACAGCATTTGGCTAGTTACATTTGCAAGATAAGGAACAATTTATTCGGATCCCTATGAAAACCGGAAAAACAAAATCATCGATAATCTTCATGATCCAGATTTCTATGTGTCGATTCATTTGTCTGTTTCCGAACAGGCGTCCTAAATCTTCAAGTAATATTTCCTACACCTGACACGCTTTCGGTTCTTTTCCATTTTTAACTCATTTTGTTCTTTTGAAGCCGCAAAGTCCGTATTAGCCGCCCATGCAGAGGACGAGTTTGGAACAGTTTTGCCATAAATTAGGGTTACTCATTTATAAATAGTAGATTCTATAATGTCGTCAATTTTGGTTCCGATGATTGTTGCTATCTAGCGCCTGAAGGCAGAGGAGGAAGAACGTAATCGGGAGTGGGACTGCCAGCGTGTAAACGCCAACAAGGTGGGCATTCTTATTGAGCGTCAGATGGAGAGGGCAGCCCGAAATGCACGCGAGAAAATCGCCCAGGAGAATTTGCGCCTTGCCCAGGACCAGATGGCTTTCCAACAATACCTGAAGGACGAGGTTAGTGGCGTTCTTAGCAATATGCGTTTTTTGTGTTTTGTGCAAAATAACCCGAAGTTAGATTATGGACGGATAACGCCCGCAAATAAGCCGAATTTTCCGTTGTTTTTCGATGCATTTATATCGTTTAGTGACGTTTAACGCAACATAACTCAAAATGGTGTAGTCTTTCCCATAGTAAGTTTTTGAATACGCCGTCTTGTTGATCCCTTTCAGCGGTTTTTAGTCATGTGTTTGAAGTGGAAAACCAAGGGGAACGATGTACACTTAAGTAGGAATTCCGGTAACAATCGGGAGATGGCACCCAAAAAATCCGTTACCTAGAAATAATACCTTTAACAGTGGACTCAAACGCCTTCAGGCTATAACAGCGCTTGCAGGCCTACTTTCACTCACTACTTGGACTTTCCGCGACGGCCTAACACGGGCTGGCCGAACGAACATCACAGGAGGTTACATGGACGATAGTCGCTGTTACCCAACTTCCCCCATCGTTACACACGTACACCTGAATATACGGCATACATTCGCATTATGGCAGTTTATTGCAAAACAAAATCACTTTTACATAGGATAAGTCTGCACAACATGGGACAGGAACAATTTCCAGGCATCTGCCAAAGACATGGCATCGAGGCCATAATAAAGACGATACTGTACTTCGTCTATGTGAGCCCACACAGCTCGACCACATACAGGGCCTCTCTCGTGGAGTTTCATTTTTAGTCTACTCCAGTATGCCTCAATGGCATTGGTGTGCCGTCCGGTGGTAGGGTCCTTGAGGTTCTTTGAGTGGTTAACAGAGAAATGCAGATAACCTTCTGAGGGAAGACGATTATACGCCTTCCACTCGTACGGTACCGCTATACTGCTTTGGCGACCCACTTTGTTATAACGGAACCCAGAGCGGGCAAACTTCGATCATTCACCTGTTTAAATAAACCTTTCCGTCGGCTAGTATCGTACATCCCGACCAGCCGCCGCCCATAAAACCCCTATTACCGCCTGTCCCGTAAGATAGGCTGCTTTGGTTAGGCGAATATTTTGGTGCCATCTCCCGACTGTTACCGGAATTCGTTCTGCGGAAGTGGAAAACCGCAGTAAGAACACTGTTTACACACCCCATTATCAAAATAAAAGGCGCATTTGTCTTCTTATAAAAGCCTAAATCCAAAAATAATTAATAAATTTTGATCTGTAATAAGTCATTGCATAGAATAAATTTAAAACATCTGCCCACTGTTTTGCCCCGGTAGAAACATAATTGTTTACAGTTGTTTATAACACGAAGTACTTTTTTGACACTGTGGATTCAAGTCTACCAACAAATATTCAACGAGCCTTGCAAGCATTCCGTGAACTAACCATATTTGTAAATACATGAAATTGGATTGTCAGGGACTGTTCTCCCCAACAGGTGCATAGCACAGTCAGGAGCCATTTATGCATCAAAATTTCGCGGACAGTTTGGATTGCCAATGAGGTAGCTAAAGCCTTACAAATGTGCATGTAGTGTTTTTTGACTGAAGTTAAGTAGGGCTAGCGTTCGTCGGACTGGATAACCGAATTTGATTCTATTACCGCTCGGTGACGAGGGAAAACAAGCCAGAGGCATCAGTCCGCACCCAGTAGTTTACGCGGCAAGAGTTTTTGGGAGATTTATAAAATAGCAGCGGAGCGCGTAGTAGCAAAATTGCACGGAAATTGAATCTAGGTGAAAGCTGCGAAATAAGTTACTAGCTGTTTAAAAAATTGATAAGCTTTCTGAAACTGATCGCGACTACTATATTCACCAGGAATTCGATTTTAGCGGCCGTTTCAAAGGCTCGTGCGAACGATAGTTCCTGGAGTTCCTCTGACATCGTTTTCATCTCGTTCCTTACACCTAAAAGCAGCTGGTCTAAAGGTCCTTACTGCTGCCAGAATTTGAAAAATGGACGCAGCCCATGTTATGACCGCAGCGTTATGTCCTGTTAATCCTTAGAGAAAAAACTTCAGGCCTTCGCATTAGAAATCAACCTATGTGCCTCTAACATTGGCAGCTCTCATAAGTGGCAAAATTCACAACACAGACACTCTGCGTCAAGTTACCGGACTTAACAGCTCCAACTCCGATGAATCCTTAAACTCTTTGATTTCTTCAGCGCCACTCCTTCTAATCACTCCACTACCTTGCCTTCACAGCTCTGTCTGTCCTGTGGACTGCCAAGTAGCAAAGGAACGCAAAGGTTCTGCGTAGCAGTGTACTCATCCTCTTTTCAGCGCCTTCCAATGTCCCCTTTTACTTTCAGCTATACTGTATCCCTACGCTTTCTGCACTAACAAGTACCTGTTATTCGTCTTTTTCATTTTAGCTGTACACCAACCAGCCGACCGCAGCTTACTTTGCCCAATTTAACACCACTTCACGATAAGTCTCCAAAGCGTTTCCCTACCAGCGACGGGCAGTGTGCTCGGAACAGGTGATTGTCTCTGACTTGTCAGCGTTTTCTGCCAGACTGTAACATCACCTCTCCAATCTGGCGGTAGCCCCAACAGAGCCACACAGGAGAGCCCTCTGACTGCTGTTTTTTCGCCGATGCGGATTGAACTCGACCACCACCACAGCAACTGCTGTTTGTTCATCCCTATAATCGCCTCTCTACCTCTCTCTCTCTCTGTCTCTTGTCTCCTACAGCCTACCAAACTACAGTCTTTAATATCCTTAATAGCGTTAAAATTCCTATAAAGAGGTATTGCAGACAGTAAAGTATGCTTTATTGAAGTGAATGATTGTAAACTAAACCTTCGGAGTGACTTGTGTTTAGCACAGTGTTTGTTGCCGTGGCGGATGCACACCAAGCTGGTTAGCTTCGCAAAGTAAACTGGCCGCGCCCTCCGATATTGAGGACCGCTGCGTTTAAAAAAACTAAAATAGGGATTTCGTTCTCAACAAGTACCGGAAAGTGTTGCTGGCAAATAAACGTACATGGCCTATGAAAAATTAAAAACGTGGCTTCAAGATCCTCCAAGTAAATACTTTGAGTTTTATGCATAAATCTGGTCGGTGATTAGAGTAGTTCGTATTCTTATTTGATGACGGATTTTTTGCAGGGAAGTTGCATCTTTGGCAGCTCTTCTTCCTACTTAAAATGCCAAAGTAAGAATGTAAGATAAAGTGCTCGTGATGCATTTTTTCCTCCTCTAAGCGACTTTCGCAACGGGAAAAACATATTATATGCAAAAAGATCCTGCCATCTTTTGCCTTTAGCTAGGCACAGGTAGGAAGTCAAGGTTTCACAAATCGAAGACTCCACATTCAGAAGAACGCTTGCGGAGTTTTACCATTTGGCAGTTGTCGTTGAAACCGAAGCTGCGTTATTTACTGTGTACTGAGGTCTTGGGAAAATTGGTTGACACCATCCCACTGTCTTTAAATGTTTCCTCCGCTATATATCATCCATGAGATATATCGAAATGTTCCTTTTCACTAGCACGCAGAAAGGATTACGAGCCGAGACTGACATGCAAATTAATCGAATAAAACTCCTGGACATCTACCTAAGCGAAGTCTTAGGGGCCACTTTCACTGGAACTGGCAAACTTTGCGAAAGTTCTAAATAAGACCGTGAAATGGACGACTTCCTTAACGCTGTAAAGTGCTTCGTGTTTACGCCGGTTAGTTAATGTGCTGTCTGGTAAAGTAGTCGAAATTCTAAAATGTGTCTTTAATTTGGAAAAGATCGTTTAAGTAGTGCTAATTATCGTACGACATAACCGTTAGATATTTCAGGCAGGTAGGGATGCCGGCTTCTGAGCAAGTTTCCTCTGACCGCCTGGGAAAATACAACCTGTAAAAAATGGTTGTCAGAGTAGCACGAATTTCTCTGCACTCATTTGTGAGGCTCTTTTGAATTTAATTATATTTTATAGAAAACAAGCGAACAATAGTGTTTTTTACACTCGTCTGGTAGCACGCTGCGTCTTTTCCAAATTTCATTCCTTCATACGCAGTTATATCTAGCTCTAGAAAAGTTTCTAATTGTGAGATTTTTTAAGATCCTGAAATGTCCATCCATCGAATTAGCACGTATATGAATGTTGCTTGTAAAGTGGACAACATGGTTCGCGTCAACTGCAAACTTTTCAGCGACCCTAAATGATGTTTCCTTAATGGCATGTTAAAATTTATCGGTTTCCTTGCACCAAAAATGCGCAACCTGTAGTTTTAAGACCCAAATTGCAAGTGTAAGAGCGGTTCGGATAAAAAACTATCCGGGAATCCAAACAGTTTTTAATCTGACGATACTCGCCCTTCAAGTAAGAAATTTGAAGACGTAATGGGCTAAGTAATAAGTATGAGAGAGTGCGTTTCCGTGCGCTTCTTTTATAAAACGTATTTGAATTTGTACGGACATCCAAAATTAGTGGGAAAATCTGTACTATTTAAGAATCCACCTTTTATGGAATGTCTTTTATGCAGGCAACTAATAAAGAAGCTCGTTTGAGAGAAGACATCTGGACGTGACTGAAATATTACAGGATTATGCTACATTATATGTGATGTATCAACGCTGCTTAAGCAAACTTTTCGAATCAAAAGCTCCTTTGAGGATAAAGGTTAACATTTTATCAGATGGTATATTTACTAGCTGGTGTTAACGCATGGTTTTAGTTACCGCAGGAAACGCATGCTCCCAGATGATGTGCAGGAACCCCTTTACGATGAAAAAAATGCCTGTGTTCTTACTATTAGCATTAGCCATGAGTCGAGCTTTAAACCCCAAAGCACTTGTAAAATCGCGACACGTATTAACCCTTTTGGGAATCAAGTCCAGCAAACGCATGCTTTTGATCATTCATCATCAGTCCTGTGCACTAATATAAGAGAGTGTAGAGTAACAATATTTAAACAGCCAATAAACGTCAGTATGGGGAAGAGGGCGTTCAGAGGTCAGGGGTTATTCTAATTCGTTCAGGGGCTTAAGGAGGGAGGGGGAGCGTCTGGCGATTAGCTATGTTCCTGTTTTGTCCATGTAAGGCGACATGGCAGGAGGTTCAAACAGAGGAGCCTTAGCGCTTGTACATAAGCTTTATCCGAATACACGGTTGGGTTGACTGGTCGTATGTCCACCGCCTCTGGCATCGCAAGCATCCGCTGACACAGGAACTTGGCGTGTCACGCCGGCATGTTACGGATTACTCGAAGCGTTTGGTTGACGTCTACCTGGTGGCTAATATCAACCAAGTGGACCACGACTGCGATAAAAATGGACTTTTCCACACTTTGATTTAGCCAGGCGGTATGATGTTCTCGCATCCGCCTGGATAGGAGCCCAGTTGTTTGACCACATAAACCTGCCCCGCAGAAGCAAGTGAAGACGTATATGCACATTGAAAAGGCATATGAAAGGGCATTTTATCCTTAACGTCATAGCGAACAAGCGGAGAGTTTGTGAAAACTGGCCTTAGATTGACGACGAGGTAAGTGCGCGCGATAGCAACGTTTCAGCGATGATATAGAAGTTTGCCCGCCTCGAAATGGCAGCACAAGAAATAACTCCTTCTCAGCCGTCCACACGTCATCTTTGGAGGGTGTTCTTCTATATATTTGCTGATAATCTTTTCAGGAAAGTAGTTTTCTCCCAGGGCGTTTTGCAAAATGGCGAGTTCATTTTTAATCGTATCTGTGGTGCATATTCTCCAATATTCTTTTTTGACTTTACGGGACAAAACTGTAGAAATGTACTTAATGCCCTGTCCGTGTTTTTTTTACTAAATACACTTCTACGAAATGCTCCATTCGGCATTCGAGTAAATAGGACTTCCAGAAGGGGAAATACTCTCCGTACTCTTTTCCCAAAGTGAAGGTCAACACTGGGTGAGTCTGATTAACTTTACACAGGAGGGCGTTCAAATCGAGCTTTTCATCTACTACGGTAAAAATGTCATCATCATGTAGACCATTGGGGTAATGCTCCTTTGCAATTGAACAGTTCTGGTTTTTCTGGTTTTCCCATAAATCAGTTATTAGCCGTCCAATGGATGATCTCATCTCCACGCCGTTGATCTGGTGGTAGAATTGACAACTGAATCTGAATTGGGCATTTAACTTGCAGTGAAAGAGCAATTCCTTTAGGTCTCCGACTGGCATCCTGATTAGGAAATCCAGCCTTACAATCTCGTTACATAGAACTCCAATCGTCTTCGTGAGAGAAATGCGACGCGACATCTGACGGCAGCATCGTTCTCCCATTGAGATTTGTATGTCTACTGAAATTAGTGTACCAAAATATGCCCTGTAAACTACGTGACTCTATTTTGCGATTGTGTGATAGTGTGAATCACCCATATATGATATCGATCTCAGTGGACGGTCCAGTTTGATGACGAATATTCTCTTGTTTTGACATAATTCTATGAGTTTCTCCAGATAGTCATCCGCGATATGCCTGATTCTCAGTGGCTTTATTCTAAGGTATTGGTAGCAACTATTGACGAACATTGGTTTGAAATGTCCCGCTTCATCTGGCGTTGTAAGCACTAGGTCATGCGTCTGATTTAACAGGTTTTCAGGTTGAACTTCTGCCACTAATCTGTTTAATTTTTGATCAGGGAAACAAAACTTGTGGCCTAGGGTTAGTACCTTAGTCAAGCATTTGTCGATGTCAAGTCAGTGAACTTGTGCGAACCGCTCCGGAGCATTTAGAAAAGTTACCTGTGCGTACACTGGGTTGACGCTGCCTAAAACTCTTTATGCATTTCAATTCCGTCCTTCACTTGGTCGCAGTCTTGACACTACCGCTAAATTATCTTCGCTCTTCTTCGGTTAGTTCGCCTTATATCGCTATGCATCGATACAGATTGCATTATGGTTCGGTTATCTCCATTGCGACACATTCGGGTCGGTTCTCAGTATATCGCCCTAAAATTCTTCTTGAGACAATCGTCTGATGTCTACGAATGTCGAAAATAGTGTGGTCGACAGACAAACATTCCCAAATCAGAACTCAGGGAAGACGGATCGAGTTTGAACAACCTCTAATGCTGAGAAAGTGCGTAAACAAAGCTCTGCAAGCAGTCGCCACGAGCGCGCTTTCCAGGCACGTTATGTTCCTTGTATCCGCCGTCGAGGTGCACAGACTCTAGCGCATGTGTCTATCGCTCTGCCTCAGGGTCGCCAGCCAATGGGAGAAGGGACAGCGTCGATTGGCCTTGAGCGCTTGCGAGAGTAGTGACAAGTCCCGCGCGTCCCACCAGCAACTCGGTAGGGGGGTGTGAGGCGGACAGGAGGGCAGCGTGACAAAGAGCGGGAGCAAGGTGACGCAAACTGCCACACGAAGCGACCTCCATCCTGTGTCTATAAAGGTGTCTTCCGGACGTTGTAATCAAACGGCAGACCATGGACAAAACTTAAATGACATTTTGCAGATGG